GGTGGGGGTTTTTGTTAAGAAGCACTAACATCTGGGGTTGGGGAGAGTTGGGAACAACCTCGTGTAGGAGGGCTGAAATTTGAAAAGGAAATTAAGGTTTCTAAGAACGGGAAGTAAGGAGTAAGTACGGAGTAAGTACATCCTGTGCAAAGGCATTGAGATGGGAGATAAAATGACCCACCTAAGAACAGCAAGGATAGAAAACAAAAAATTTAATAATGTGGAAACTTTAAAGCTATTGCACTAAAAATTCAGCATGGGAAAAGTGATGAGAAAATAGAAATCAGAAAGAAGAGAATATTGTATATCTTTCTTATAAAATACATTAAGGATTCCAAAGCACTTTATTATGTATATAAAAGAAGAAAAAAGACTGAATATATCTAAAGTCAAAGTAACTAAAGTAGAATCTATGAAATCAGCCTAGTACAATGAAAATATTGTTTCTTTATTGAAGGTAGAGGGGGTTTTTTTGTTTTTGTTTTTTTAGAAGCACCATAAATGGATAATATAAAAGGCAACATTTAACTAAGGTGACTCTGGGAAGATTTTGTGCCTTGAATTGGGAAGGGCTACTTTGGAGAAACATTGATTTGTCCTTTCATTGATTTCTTTTTGTGTCTTTTTGTGGCTATTCTTTTTGAATGTTAAATTTAATGAGGTAGTGCCAGCATTGCCCCATTTTGGGCCTTCTGTTTTGTGTTCTTCTGTTCTGTGAAAATATTTCATTGATTCTTTTTTTTTTTTTTGCATCATTATGACCTCTCATGTTCCCCCTGAAATGGCTTTCCCAAGTAGAAGCTGTCATGTAACAAACAAGAATAGTCAAAACAAAATAAATTTGTCTTGTATTAGTTGTGCCTGAAATTTAATGACTCATTCTGCACATACAATCCATCTCTTCTCTAGAAATCAAGGTCTTTGTGTGTGTAAGAGTTCTTAATTCTTTCAGAGTTTTTCTTTATGATGCTTAGTTTAGTGTATACATTGTTATCTTGTTGCTATTCTGCCCTGTGCCAGTTCATTTGAGCCTTAATATACTTGATTCTGCTCCTGCTCTCTGCAGTTCAACTACATTGGCCAATATTTGCACTTTTTGAAACTGCCTACTCATCTGCCATCACTGTGCCTTTGTACTTGCTGTCCTCCATACCTGGAATATTCTGCCCCTTACCTCTACCTCTTTGTGTCCCTACCTTTCTTCAAGTCTCATCTTCTGCAGAAGGCCTTTCTGGGTCCCTCTAGTTATTAATGCCTTTGTATTTGAGATTACCTTACATCTGCTCTGTATTTATTGTATGTACCTTATTATTTACATGTCTCCCTCATTAGAATGCTACTAGGTCCCTATGGGGAAGGATTGTTTTTGCCTTTCTTTATAATCTTAGTACTTTAACACCATGTCTGGCACATGGTAATAAATGCTTGTTGATTTACACACAACAGTTTGTTCAGTCATTTCCCTATCAGTGAGTACCATCTTTACTTCTAGTTCTTAGCTACCACCAAAATAATTCTGCTATAAATATTTCTCTTCCTGGAGTAAAAGGTACATATGGTTTACTAACATTTTTTAGGATAATTCCAGATTGTTTTCCAGAGAGCTTTGTTTTTTGTTTACTTTTACAAAATACTGCCACATCCCTAGTTTATGTATTTTTTGGTGGATTATTAGCATCCTAATTGGTTCTCCATGTTTTCTTTCACCCTGTAGTCTGTCATATAAAAAAGGCCAAGGTCTCCAGCTGCATCCAGGGCCATTTCTGGTCGTCCTGATCTATATTTTTCACTGGACCAGATGGCTGTGGAGGAGAAAGTGAGGCTGGTAACTTTGCACAGCCCTCCTTCACTTAAATCCAATTCACTTGTAAGTTGTGATATCACCTCCCTGATGTCATGGTCCTCTCTTCAAGAAAGAAGGACAAACAAACTAACCAGTCTATCATATATACCACCATTATATTAGTGATAGAGAACGAACCTGCGATTTTGTTGGTGTAGGGAGTTAAAGATGAGGAAACTATCTAGCAACGCAAGTCATTCATTATCTTCTCTGCAATGTGCTGTCTTTGAGAGTTATGTAGGATTTGGAGAGTTTAAGTGATTTTCTTAGAGTCACATAGCCATTTTGTGTAGTCAGTATTTCTCGGAGGTAGGACTTGAACCCAGGCTTTTCTTCCTCCACAGGCTTTTCTTCCTCCAAGGCTATTTCTCTGGCCACTATCTCATAACAGATTAACTTTTCTAAAAAGAATTTTTTTGGTCATATCTCTTGTCATTCAAAGATCTCTATATACACCTTTTTTTTGCCACTTTGTTGTTGTTGTTGAGTCTTTTCAGTCATGTCTGACTGTGACCCCATTTGGGGTTTTTTTGCAGAAGACAGTGGAGTGGTTTGCCATTTCCTTCTCCAGTTCATTTTACAGATGAGGAAGCTGAGGCAAATAGGGTTAAGTGACTTGACCAGCGTTACACAGCTAGGAAGTGTCTGAGGTCAGATTTGAACTCAGGAAGATGAGTCTTCCTGCCTTGAGGTCTGGCACTTTATCCACTGTACCACCTAGCTACCCTTGTTGCCACTATTCCTCCATTAAAGTTGAGCTTTTGTATATGTATTTTTCCATTTTATTTTTCATATCACAAGCATTAAAAGAAGGGAAAAAACCCTTGTAACAAATATGCATAATAAACAAAATAGATTCCCACATTTTTTATGTCCCAAAATTTTGTCTTATTTTGCATCTTGAATCCATCATTTCTCTGTCAGGAGGTTAATAGCACAGTTCATTATTAGTCGTCTGGAATCATGGTTGGTCATTGCTTGATCAGAGTTTTTAAGTCTTTTTGAGTATTTTGTCTACAGAGACTTTATGACTCAATTCATACAAGTTTTCCCAGGTTTTCTGAACTCATCCCTTTCATAATTTCTACAGTACATTGAATAAAGTAGTATTCAGTTGCACTGATATACTAAAATTTGTGCAGCCTTTCACCAATTGATGTGTATCTCCTTAGTTTCCAGTTCTTTGCCACTACAAAAAGAACTGCTCTAAATATTTAAAAAAAAAAAGGTCCGTTTCTCCCTTCTTTGATCTCTTTGAGGTATTCTTGGGTCAAAGGGTATATGCCTATCCTAGTGGTTTTGGGAGCATAGTTGCAAATTGTTTTCTAGAATGACTGTTATCAGTTCACAGCTCCACTAGCAGTACATTTGTCTACCTATTTTCCTATATCCCCTCCAACATTTGTCATTTTCCTTTTTTCTTAACTTTGTAAACCTGGTTTGTGAGATAGAACCTGAGAATTTCTTTAATTATAAGTAATTTGAGCATGTCTTTCCTATGGCTATTGATAACTTGGATTTCTTTTTTAAAAAAAATTTTTGTTCATATTTTAAAATCTTTTTTCATTTGAGGAATGGCAATTATTCTTATTTGAATTCAATTTTGCAAATAAGACTATTCTCAGGGAAACTTGCTATGAAGATTTATCCATAGATCTGAAAGGTAATTTCTTCTTTGTTCATGTAATTCATTTATGATGTCACCCTTCATGTCTAAGGTGTGTACTCATTTGGAGCATATCGTAGTGTAAGACTTGAGATGTTTCCGTCCAACTGCTTTCCAGTTTTCTCAGCAGTTTTTGTCAAATAGTGAATAATTACCCCAGTAGCTTGGGTCGTTAGGTTTATCAAACACCATACTACTATGTTACTTTGCTTCTACGTTTAATGTTGTTGTTATTGTTTATCCCTTCCTTCTTGAAGAGGACCATGACATCAGGGACATGCTATGACATACAAGTAAATTGGAGTTAAGTGAGGGAGGGCTGTACTGAGTAATTATCAGCTTCACTTTCTCCTCTGGAGCCATCTATGTTCCAGTGGCAAGATATAGATCAGTATGATTGAAGATGGCCCTGGATGCAGTGGGAAACCTTGGCTTTTTCATACCTAATATGGTTTAGTGATCGACTTATTTTTTTAAACAGTACCAAATTGTTTTGTTCATTACTGCTTTGTAGTGTAGTTTGAAATCTGGCTCCCTTTCTTCCCCCTTGTTTTCTTTATTTTCTTTGAAATTCTTGACCTTTTGTTCCTTCAGATGGATTTCTTTATGATTTTATTCCCCTAACCCTATAAAATAATCCTTTGGTAGTTTGGTACAGCACTAAATAAGCAAATTAATTTAGTTAATGTTGTAATTTTTATTATATCGACTCAGCCTACCTAGGAATAGTTAACATTTCTCCAGTTATTTAGGTATGTCTTTATTTCCATAAGCAACATCATAGTTGTTTTTATATTGTATTCATTTTGCAGATATTTTGCATGGAATTACTCTTTCATTTCCTTCTGAGTTTTGTTGATAAATATGCTGAAATGGATGGTTTATATGAGTTTATTTATGTCCTGGTTATTTTTAGGAAAAAAACCTCAGAATTATTTTGTCTTGTTGTTATTGACCCCTAACACGAAAAGCTTATTTACCACATGATATTTCCTTACTGATAGTTCTCCATGGTCTCACATGGTCATGCTGTCATCTTATTCTGCCTATCTCTGTATTTTGGGATTTAAATAAAATTTCTTTTTGGTCTCTTTTTCTTTACTCTTGCTTTTTTCCCCCCACACCTTTCCTTATTCTGATATACTTTTGTTTTCATCTGTCAAGGTAATCATTCTTGCCTTAGAGTCCAACTCCTGGAAGCCTTTCTTAATTAATTTTTACCCCACATATAACAGGTTAATATATACGACAGGGATATGTCATGTTGAGGTATCCTCGTGTAGGAGACTTGTCAGAGGATTGGGTTTTGAACATGGATCTGCCACTTCTCCCTTTGTATCTTAAGTCACTTAATCTTTTTGGGCCCAGTTTGTAAAATGAAGGGTTTGGACTTTACTTTTAAGATTCCTTCTAGCTCTGAATATATGATCCGATGAGTGACATTATAGCACAATCACTTGGTTAATTACTCAAACCTCTTCTGTATTTTAGGTTCTGCTACAATGGAACTAAGTGATGCAAATTTGCAAACTCTAACAGAGTATTTAAAGAAAACACTTGATCCTGATCCTGCTATCAGACGTCCAGGTAAAGTGTTACATATACTGAATTTTTTCCCCTGAAGAACAAATGAAGAAGTACTTAATTCAATCCGCTTCACTTACAAATGTCAGCACAATATTGACTTTTCTTTCAGTCACTTATTGAGTGAAGCCTTACCTGTCTGCTTATTGCCTTTAATTTTAATTTTCAGTAGTTAATTTTTGCTTGTAGGATCTTCAAAGTGAAAAGGTATTAGCTTAAATCTAAAGCTGTGTCTTTATAAATGGTGTTTTACTCCATTCTTGATTTTTTTTTTAATTCCTAGGTTGAAACTTGTCCATTTTGGGGAGAGAGAAACTAAGGCACAGAATTAATTTCTATTAACTTAAGGCTCAAAATTTTTTAAAAAACAGTGATTGAATATTTCCTTTTAAATTTATCTAATGTCTGTTAGAAATGTTAAAAGTCCAAATAGTATAAGCCTTTATATATAACATGATATAATAATATGACTCGCTTTTCTTTCAACTTGCTTTTGAAGTTGTCATAAGGGAGTTCGTGAAGTGTAGACTGGCTAGTTGGTATAGATAATGAAATAGAAGATCACTGAACAGTTAAGTCTGTGTAGTTTTTAAAAGGAGGAACATGCCTGACAAATGTAGTTTTTTAAAGTGTTAAATATTTATATGACTGCAATATACTAAGACTTTCAGAAAACCTCTGACCAATATGTAGTCCTTCAGACTAATTAGTTTTGTTAGGACATATTTTGCCCTAGTTAGGGAATTGTCTTATAGAAAATAAAGAATATGAGTCAACTGGTGCTTATCCAGCATATTTCTCAGGGACTGAACTTACTAAACATCTTTGTAAGTTGGTTTGGAGGAGAAAATAAACAGTGAAACCTCCAAATTTTCAAATGTTCCTAAACTCTTCTTGAATGATAAAAATGTTAAGCTGACAGAGATGTATGTCCTGACTCTTTTGGTGTTTGTATAAGGGGGTAAAAAAAAGTGTCATTTCTTTGTGGGCATGTTCAAGGTAATGTATACTGAAAGAAATAATTGAAATTGTAATTATAAGAATCAAAAACTGGCATATGACCTTGGAGTCCAGCACTTAGTGGGATGATCTGACCTGGTATATTCTTCCTATTTCTGTCATCATACCTGGAGAAATATATATTTAAATGAGCAGAGGGGGAAGATTCATATGAGGAATGTAAGGATAGTAGGAAGATTGCTGTAGGTATAAACCCTGAAAAGATTGAGACCCATAAATCTAGAAAAAGGAATGCAGAGATGTATGGTTCAATTCTAAAAGATCATGAATGTTTTAGATAAGGGTAAATACAGACTTTTCAAAGCAAATCTTGGAATGTTATAAAAAGAGAAAACTCTAAAATTTGCAAGAGAGGAAAAATTATTTATTGCTTTGCAGAATGACAAAAAAAAATTAAGAAACTCTTTACTTCAGTTGTAGTGAAAAGATACAGATTCAAAAAAGGTTTAGGTAAATTCATGGGTCATAAATGCATATATCTGGAAAGCACATTAGAGACCATAGATTGCCAACATGGGGTAGCAGCAAGAATGTGGGACTAAAAATCATGACCTGTATTCTAGTCTCAGGTAGAATATAACTAGGTGTTCAGGGGCAGCCAGGTGGCTCAGTAGATAGAGTGCCAGGCCTGGAGTCAGGAAGAAGAATCTTCTTGAGTTCACATCTGGCCACAGACATTTATTAGCTGTGTGACCCTGGACAAATCATTTAACTCTGTTTGCCCCAGTTTCCTTATCTGTAAAATGAGCTGGAGAAGGAAATGGTAAACCACTCCAGTATCTTTGTCAAGAAAACCCCAAAAAGTTGGACACAACTGAAAGAACTCAACAAATGTTTGAATTCCACTTCTGCAACTTACTTGCTTATGATTTTTACCAAAATTCACTTTACTGTACCTTATTTTTTTCATCTGTAAAACTGGGGTGAAAATATTTACCCTGTTGTGTTGTTTTAAGGATGAAATGAGGTGATACAATATTTTTTTTCTTCTGGTGAGGCAATTGGGGTTAAGTGACTTGACCAGAGTCGCACAGATACTAAATGTTGTATCTGAGGCCAGATTTGAACTCAGGTCCTCCTGACTCCAGGGCCAGTGTTCTAGCCACTGCTCCACTTAGCTGCCCTGAGGTAATATGTATTAGAGTACATTTAGAAAAGCAAGTCATTGTACGCATATCAGGTAGTCGTATCATGTGGTCCATTCCCTTCATTTTATGCATGAGGAAAAATGGAGCCTAATAGATTTATCTTGAGTTACAAAGGAAAACTAGAATACTGGGGGTGATGTTCTTAACATTGGAGGTTTGGGGATACCACAGTTATATTAAGAACATCTGTTGTCAGCTAGGTGGGTTTAATTAGATTTGTTCATTCTTAACTTTGAAATTGAAGTTTTACATTTCCATGTTTCTCATATACTTAAAATGAAAAGATTTTGATATTTAGTAAGATTGTTTGGTGTTCCCTAAAAATGATATTATTTTACAGCTGAGAAATTTCTCGAGTCTGTTGAAGGAAATCAGAATTACCCATTATTGCTTTTAACATTGCTGGAGAAGTCTCAAGATAATGTCATCAAAGTGTGTGCCTCAGTAACATTCAAGAACTATATCAAGAGGAACTGGAGAATTGTAGGTATTTTAGTAAACAGAATTTTAAAACTTTTATCTCTCCTGTAACTTTATAGGACCTTTGCAAGCACTATTTGCAGAATACTGGTTGATACAAATTAAATAGGAACTTTTTTGAATAAGGCTCTGTTTCAAAGCCCTTTTTTTCTCATTGGTTACTTTAACAATTTTCACAAATTTGCCTTTCTTGGTAATGGCTAAGCTTTTATATATTGATTTCATCTCCGTTTTTATTAATGTCGAATCTGTTAGCTCCTTTGAATTAAGTGATGTTGCTTTTTAAAAATATCTTTGTGGGGGGCAGCTAGGTGGCAGTGGATAGAGCATGAGCCCTGCATTCAGGAGGACCTGAGTTCAAATGTGACCTTAGACATGTAACATTTAATAGCTGTGTGACCCTGGGCAAGTCATTTAACCCCCATTGCCCAACCAAAAAAAACCCCAAACCAAAACAATAAATATTTTTGTTTATTCTGTTTTTTTTATTAATTTATTTTGATTTATCAACAATTACTTCCATATGCTTTTGAGTTGAAAATTTTTCTCCTCCTTCCTCCCCCCCGCCCTCCCCAGGATGGCGCACAATCTGATATAGGCTTTACGTTTACATACCCATTAAACATATTTTCACATTAGTGAAGTTGTAAGTAAAAATTAAAACCAATAGGAGGAACCATCAGAAAGATGAAACAAAACTCAACAGAAGGTAAAAATAAGTGATAGCGATTCGACTTCCATAGTTCTTTCTTTGGATGTTATTCTGTTTGTTTTTAAGTAGATAATAAGTTCTGCACGTTGTCTTCGAAGCCTTCTTTTTCTTCTCCCCTTAAACGTGTGTTCTTTTCATTTTTTAAAATTTTTTTTTTTTTAGTGAGGTGACTTGCCCAAGGTCACACAGGTAGTACATGTCAAGTGTTTGGTCTGAGTCCGGATTTGAACTCAGGGCCTCCTGACTTCAGGGCTGGTGCTCTATCCACTGGTGTTCTGTTCATTTTAAAAAATGTTTTGATGACCCTTTTTCTTTTTAGAGGTGTTGCTTATTACGTTTTATACATTTAATTGTGTGATAAAGATGCCTTGTCAGGGAAAACAATGCTGTATTTAATGGCCCGAACATACAGTAAGAGTTATTTTTGTGTCTCAGACTAAAATTATGAGATTATGCATAAATGGGATAAAACTAACCAAGTGAAGAATAAATCCCATCGTAGAGAAAAGGCTTTTTATATAATGGCAAAATAATTTTGCTTATTCCTAGGAATTCTTTATAATGGCAGCTGGCCTATATATTTTAGAGTGTAAACATACTCATAATTTCAAGATACATTTAGTTGTTGGTGACTACAAATTTTAAAACTATCCCAGAATCTTAAATTATGAAACAAGTTTATTTCATTTTTTTACCCATGTCAGGGGTAAAGAAAGAATGAGCAAGTTTTTTGTAGTGATAGTAGCAGTGATATTGCAGATAACATTAATTGGATGTTAGAAATGGATTTATTCCATACATAAGAGTTCTTCAAACTTACTGTTTACAGAAGGTATTTGGCAAGCTGCTTGTTTTCTAGGTAGTAAATAAGGTAGAAGATGTCATCTTATTAGCAACATGCATGTGTGTGTGTGTGTGTGTGTGTGTGTGTGTGTGTGTGTGTGTGTGTGTGTGTGTGTACTTAAGCACATTAAAAAACAAGAGGAAGAAAAAAATGCCTTTGTGAACAATGGTCAAGGAAAAGAAATGTCACAATGTACATGTCCAAAACATATGTCTCTTTGTGTTCCTTATGTCCATCAGCTCTCTGGCAGGGAGTAGTAACATGTTTCATCATACGTAGATTCTCTGGGGACATGATTAGTTTGGTTGACCACTGCATTGATTAGATGTCTTAAAGTCTTTCAAAGTTTTTTTCTTCATAATATTGCTGTCCATGTATTAATTTCTGTGCTTGTTCTGTTCACTTTACTCTATTTCAATTCATACTACTTAGGGTTTTCTGAAATTGTCTTTTTTGTCATTTCTCATGGTTTGGTAATATTGCAATTATATACTGCAGTTTGTTCAGCCATTTGTCTTTGAGGCAATCTAAGATAACTCTTTATACTCTGGTTCTTTCTTTATTCATTCATCTATTTTATTTATTTTGTTAATTTGTTTTTATTAAGGGCTGCTGTATGTCAGGCTGGGTTTCAGTTTAGTTTTGTTTGTTATTGTCCTTTGGTTCTTAAAGAGGACCAATGACATCAAGAGGGTGATATATTGACTTTCCAGTGAATTGGGTTTAAGTAAGGCAGAGCTTCAAAAAATCAACCTCACTCTCTCCTCCAGAGTCACCAGAGTCCAGTGACAATCAGAAAGTCAAGAGTGATGATAACATGGAAGATGACATATTCCTTGCCCTCATGGGGTTTACAATCCATTGAAGATAATAATAATAATAATAATAATAATAATAATAATAATAACAGTAATAACTAGCGCTTATATAGTACGTACTATGTGTCAAGGACTGTACTAAGCATTTTACAAATATTAATTCATTTGATCCTCATTACAACCATGGGAAGTAGGTACAATCTTTATCTCCATTTAACAGTTGGAAGAAACTGAGGCAAACAGTATACTGTGGTTCTTTAAAAAAAAATTTTTTTTGGCCTTTTTGAACACTTTAGGAAAAGAAAGTTTATTTTGCTTCCCGCTATTATTACTCTCCCCATATTCTCACTTCGAATCCCCTACTTGTTTTTCTCTTGAATTTGATGTATTTCTCTACCAAATTATGTTTTCAATCCTTCTTTGTCCTTTTCGTATAAGAATAAAGTTCATTTGCCCACTGCTGTCCACCCCTTTGTCCATACTCTTCTCATGTACCCCAAGTATGAGGAATATCAAGTTCTACCCTCTTTGTCATCTTTCTGCACTAGTGAATTCCTTTTGCCCCCCCATTTCTTCTTTTCAAATTCTCTGAACAGAACCAATCTACCCCCAGAACCTCTGTTTTTCTTATTTAACTCAATACCCTTTGGAGACATTATGGTTCTAAAGAGATAACTTTGTTTCTTTTCACCCTGTTCCAGTGTTTAGCACTGCATAGCATTCCAGTCATCTAGCTCTGTTTGGGTCTGGAATTCCAAGAGCTTCTCCTATAAAAAGTCTGATGCCTTAGATCAGGATGAGAGTGAAACGTTAATTTGGTTTGGATTTTGATTTTGGTTTGAAATGAAGAAACTTCTTTCACATTTTTAAACTTTTGTCTTCATTTCACTGTTGCACACATGTGAGGTGAAATAGGAAGGATACAGACCTTATAAGCAAGTAAATGTGCAGGCAAGCATACTGTACTTTTTAATATCTTGATAAATCTATTAATACTTTATATTAAAGGTCCACTGTAATGCCAAAGAAACCCACTTGTAATTTACATCAGATTAATGACAAAGAATGAAATTGAATGTTTTACAACTGCTATTTGAGTCCTGGTGGAGTCGTTTTCTTTGACTGTTTGCTTACTGTTGTCATATTGTGTGGGTTCTAGCATGTGTAGCAACATCTTACTCTTGTAGCACTAACACTGACTGTGACATCTTTCTTAACATTGTTTTCATGGTACTATTTATTGCTAAAGGTAGACAGGCCCTATAGACACGCCCTTCTGGGATGTGTAGCTCAGGAAATTAGCAAGTTAAAAGTCAGTCAGTAAGCGTTTATTAAGTGCCAGGAACCATGTTAAGGCAAAAGTCAAGTCCTGCTCTTTTTTTTTTCCCCCTTAGTGAGGCAGTTGGGGTTAAGTGATGCCCAGAGTCACACAGCTAGGAAGTATTATGTGTCTGAGGCCAGATTTGAACTCAGATCCTGGCTCTAGGGCTGGTGCTCTATCCGCTGAGCCACCTAGCTGCCCCTCTACTCTTCCGGAGCTCATGGTCTAATGAGGGGATACAGCATGAAAATAACTATTTACAGACAAGGTACACATAGCATAAATTGGAGTTAATCGATATGGGGATAGTACTAGAATTAAGAGAGATCGAGAAAAGTTTCTTGTACAAGATAGGATTTTAGATGGCACTTAAAGCAAGCCAGGGCAGCCACGAAGTGGTGATGAGGAGGGACGGTATTCCATGCATGGGGAACAGCAGGTGAAAATGACCAGTCACTAGATCACAGAGTACGTGGGGGTAAGTAAAGTATAAGAAAACTATAAAGGTATGAAAGGGGCAGGTGAAAGTTTTTTGAGTGCCAAATAAAGGATTTTATATTTGATCCTGGAGGTGATAGGGAGCCACCAGAGTTTATTGAATTGAGTGAAATGGTTAAAGGTGTGCTTTAGGAATATTTTACAGCCAAATGGAGGATAAAATGCACTGAGGTGAGATGGTAGAGATACCAACCAGCACTCTATTGTAATAGCATAGGCATGAGCTGATAAGATCCTACAACAGTGTGGTAACAATGTCAGAGGGAGAAGAGATTATATAGGAGATATGTTGTGAAGGTAGAAATGAGAGGACTTGGCAACAGATTGGATATAGGGGTTGAAAGAGAGTAAAGAGTGGAGAAGAACGCCTGGGTTGTGAGCCCAAGTGACTGGGAGAGTGATGTTGCCCTGAACAGTAATAGAGAATTTCAGAAAGGAGAAGACTTCTTGGGGAAAAACCACAAGTTCAGTTTTGGACATGTTGCGTTTAAGATGGCTATAGGACATCCATTTTGAGATGAATGGAAATATGAAATGTCAGGAATGAGTTTGGTGCTAAGATAAGTGGATCTGAGAACCATGAGCATAGTGAGATCACCAAGTGAAATAGTTTAGAGGGAGGAGGACAGAGAACAAAGCCTTGTGGAGTACCCACCTTTAGTGGGCATGGCCTGGATGAATATCTAGCAAAGGAAACTGAAAGGGAGGCGTCAGACGGGTAGGAAAACCAGGAGAGGTTAGTGTCACCAAAACCTTGAAGTAGATTATCAGTGAGACAAGGGTGATTGATAGTATCAAAAGCGGCAGAAATGCCAAGAAGGATGAGGATTGAGAAAAGATCATTAGATTTTGCAATTAAAAGATCAGTGATAATTTTGGAGAGTACAGTTTCAGTTGAATGATGAGGTCAGAAGCCAGACTAGAGAGTTGAGGAGAGGAAGTGGAGATACCTATTGTAGATGACCTTTTTAAGTGAGGTGTTTAATCATAATAGGGAGGAGAGATGATGGATCAAGTTAGGTATTTTTAAGGATGGGGGACACATGGGTGTTTTTGTAGGGAAGCAGCAGTAGACAAGGAGAGATTGAAGACAAGTGGGAGGATGGAGATAATGGAGGGGGCAATCCAACAAAATGAACCAACAAAAGATGGGAAGGAATGAGATAACTTGTGCTTGTAGAGCAAGTGAAAAGGCTGCTTGATTATGTGAGGGAGGGGTGAAAGATATGAAGAGGAGGGGAGAAAAGGGAGCTCTAGGCAAATGGCTTCAAATTTTTTTTCCATTAAAATATGAGGTAAGGTTCTTAGCTGAGAGGATGGGGGGAAGGAGAGCCTTGGAAGATTTGAGGAGGGGTGAAAAAATTTGATAGATGGGATTGTGAGTTAATTAGGAAGATATAAAATGATTGCCTTGCTGTAATAAGGGCCCTGTTGAGATTATGTAACATAAATTGTAGTGGATCCAGTCTGCATGGTTTTGTAGCTTCATTTATCCATAAATGTGTAGAAGCAAAGGCAGCAGATAGTGCAAATGATCTGATCCCAGGGTGAGGATTGGTGGGGCAAGAATGGCAATACGATAAGGAGATCAGAGACTCAAGAAGAAGGCAGTATGGAATTAAACTTGTTTATCAAGGAATCAGGATGAGGAAGGAAGGAGAGTATAGCTAATGAATGGAAAAGTGTTGGCATGGGAAAGAACTGAGGGATTCAGGGATTGGAGGTTATGGTGAAGACAAAGAACAGGGTTTGGGGTTACAAGGCAGAAACAGGGATAGAATGACAACAAATTGTCATGAGAAAGGGGAATTTCAGAGTTCATGAACATGGACATGATATATTTGTGGTTGATGGCAAGATCAAGGGTATGAGCATCTTTATATGTGGCTAAGATAGGATGGAGGAGGAGATTTGAAGTGAATAAGTTGGTGAAAGGTGTGAGCATGTTTGAGAGTATCCTTATGCATGTGGAAGTCCCCTATTATGAGGGCTAGAGTTGGAAGGGAGAGAAAAGAGTGTGAACTAGGTATAGAACTTGAAGAAAGAAGAATATCCTGGAGGGCAGTCATACCAGCTACCAGAATTTTGATTAGGTGGTGGGTATGGATTGTATGGATCTCAAAGGAAGAGTGATTACTGAATGATGCTGGTAGAGGGTAAACCTAGAAGTTGTAATGGGTATTCAAACTTCTTCACCTTGAAGAGAAAATTTAATTATAGTTTGTCCAAGAACTTAAGAAGAGAATATGATAATTTAATGTTAATTATCAGTACTTTACTTTTAGATTGAGGATGAACCAAACAAAATCTGTGAAGCAGATCGGATAGCCATTAAAGCGAATATAGTGCACTTGATGCTTAGCAGTCCTGAACAGATTCAGAAACAGGTAATATAGGATCATATGTTATATTATCTTTGCAGACTTGTTTTATCAAACTTTCACCCAACTGAATCATTTCTTCTTTTGTTTCTAGCTAAGTGATGCAATTAGTATCATTGGCCGAGAAGATTTTCCTCAAAAATGGCCTGACTTACTGACAGAAATGGTTAATCGTTTTCAGAGTGGAGACTTCCATGTTATCAATGGGGTCCTTCGCACAGCACATTCATTATTTAAAAGGTACAGGATGTGTGTGTGTGTGTGTGTGTGTGTGTGTGTGTGTGTGTGTGTGTGTGTACGGAAGGCATGAATTAAAATATTTTAAAGGATCCAGTTGCTTATTTAGTTTTGCTTTTCAAATACACTTACATCTTTTGTAATTGTACACAGTAGGTACATAGGAAATGTTTATTGAATTGCAAACAGTTTTATTTTTGTGATTACTGGCATCATATCAAAAGCACGATTACTAATTCTTTAATAAAACAAGCAAATTTTTTGAAATTCAGTTTTATTTGCAGGTCCAATTCTCTTCCTCCCATTCTCTCTTACTCACTTTTCCTATTGAGAAGGTAAGAAAAGTAACCCATTACAAACATAAACAGTCAAGCACAACAGATTTCCTTTTTGGCTGTGTATAAAAACATATCCTTTAATCTATACTCTTGATCCTTATCTCTGTGGAGATAGGTAGGTTGTTTCATTGTGATTCCTCTGAGTTATGGTTGATCATTGTGTTTTTACAGTTCTAAAACCTTTTAGAGCCTTTTGACTTTTAAAATGTTGTTGTCTAAATTGTTTTCCTGGTTCTGTTCACTTCACTTTGCATCAATTTGTGCAAGTCTTTCCAGGTTTCTCTTAAATCATCCCTCTCATCATTTCTTATAGTAGAGTAGCGTTCTATCATATCCATATACTATAACTTGTTCAGTCTTTCTCCCAATTGATGGGCATCCCTTCAGGTTCCAATTCTTTGCGCTATAAATATTTTTGTAGATAGGCCTTTTCTCTTTTTCTCTTGGGGTATAGACCTACTAGTGTTATTGCTGGGTCAGAAGGTATAAACAGTTTAGTAGTTTTTAGGCATAGTTGCAAATTGCTTTCCATAGTGATTAGACCAGTCTCAGTTCCACCAGCAGTGCATTATTGTACTTGTTTCTCACAGCCCCACCAGCATTTGTCATATTTCTTTTTTATCAATGATTATGAGATGGTAGGTTAGATTTGTTTTGTTATTTATCTAATCAGTAGTGATTTGGAACATTGCATATCACTATTGATATCTTCAGTTTTTTCCTTTGAAATCTGCCTGTTCATATCTTTTGATCATTTGTCAATTGGGGAGTGGCTTTTATTAAAGAAACCTGCTGCAAATCCTTTCCCTCCCAGTTTCCTGCTTTTCTTCTAATTTTAGCTATGTTGATTTTGCTTATGCAGAAAGTTTTATGTTTTATGTAATAAAAATTGTCCATTTTACCTCTTGTGAGCCTCTGTATCTCTTGTTTGTTTCAAGATTTTTCTCCTATCCATAGATTTGGTAATTTTTTCCATTCTTATCTAATTAGTTTATGATGTCACTATTTCTAAATCATGTACCCATTTGGAGCTTTTCTTGATATATAGTGGAGATGTTTGTGTATACTTAGTTTTTACTAGACTGCTTTCCAGTTTTCCTAACAGTTTTTGTCAAATAGTGAATTTCTTGTCCTAATAGCTTGAATCTTTGGGTTTATCAAACACTAAGCTACTGTGGCAAAGTTTTTTTTTTCATGTGTTTATATATCTGTTTCTCAGTTTTAGCATACCATAAATACATATTTCCTTCCCTAAATTCTCCTATATCATATATGTTTTCTTATAAATACATAAAATCTTTCCCATATTTTGCTAGCTAACATTTTCTAAATGATTCATTTGGAAACCATTTTTGAAGTACCTAGTAAATACAAGACACTCGTCAATGACTTCTATACTAAATTAAATCTTTTTTATTTTGCGATATCCTAACATAAATGACCCTGGTCAGACTTATGAAGAATGAGAAGAATTTGTCTCTCATCAGATTTATAGAAACATAGCATATAACTTCTTAATTAGCAGATGCCTAAGTAGAGATGATGAAAACATGAAATTTTAGAAAAGCAAAAGCAAAAAAAGCATTAGTGCTGAGGAAATGACAAAAATTAGGATGGGACTGTCCCCTCATGGAGCTTATAATCTAAAATGATACATGTACAAATCTGTGATACTGTACAATAACTTATATTTACTAACATATTTTGTAATAGTAACTAAATTTATATAGGATCTTAAAGTATACAAAACATTTTATATCCATTAACTCAGTTTAATCTCACAACAACCTCAGTTTACAGATGAGGAAACAGTGTCAAAGAGGTTAAGTTAGTTGCCCATGTCTCCTGTATTTAAAGTATCTGCAATGTAATTATTGTACAACAGTCCATATTTGTGTGTGGCAAATAATAGCAAAACAAAATCAAAAAAAAGGAAGAAAAAAATTATAGCCTAAGACAGCATTAGGAAAAAGAACAATAAAGGAGACAGTCATATAGGTAGGAAGGTATTATGTCATGAAATCCATATCTGAGAGAATGTGGAGAAGGGTTGATCACCAATGTCAAGTGCTAGAAAGATCACAATGTGAATATATAAGAATTTAAGCTCTTCACTCCTAGGTCTGTATTCCAAAGAGATCATACAAATGGGAAAAGGACCCACATGTACAAAAATGTCCATAGCAGCTTTTTCTGTGGTGGCAAAGAATTGGAAATTGAAGGGGTGCCCATCAGTTGGAGAATGGCTGAACAAGTTGTGGTATATGAATGGGATGGAAAACTATTGTGCTATAAGAAATGATGAGCAGGTAGACTTCAGAAAAACCTGGGAAGATGTGTATGGACTTTTGCTGAGTGAAGTGAGCAGATCCAGGAGAACGTTGTACACAGTAACAGCCACATTGCGCAATGACTAACTTTGACAGACTTAGCTCTTCTCAGCAACGCAAGGATCTAAGACAACTCCAGAAGTGTCATGTGGAAAATGCTATCCACATCCAGAGAAAGAACTATGGAATTTGAATGCTGATCGAAGCATAGTATTTGCTCTTTTTTTTCTTGTTTTGTTTTGTTTCCTCTTTCTTATGGTTCCTCCTATTGGTCCTAATTTTTCCTTACAACATCACTAATGTGAAAATATGTTTAATAGGAATGTATATGTAGAACCTATATCAGATTGCATGCTGTCGTGGGGAGGGAGGGGTAGAAAAATTAAAACTCAAAAGTATATAAAATGGTTGTTGAAAAATGAAAATGAATTAATTTTAAAAATAATTTAAGCTCTTTAATAAAAACAGTTTAAGTAAAATGGCCACTTATTTATTTCCTAGATATCGCCATGAATTTAAGTCAAACGAATTATGGACTGAAATTAAACTTGTTTTGGATGCCTTTGCACTACCTTTGACAAACCTTTTCAAGGTATGGGTGAGAAATGAAAAAATAAAATTTATGGAATTTTCTTGAAAGCTTGTTTTGACTAAAAGTATTTGGGGTTTTTTTGTTTGTTTATTTTTTTGCTAGGCAGTAGGGTTAAGTGACTTGCCCAAGGGTCACACAGCTAGTGTCAAGTTTCTGAGGCCAGATTTAAACTCGGGTCCTCCTCACTTCAGGGCCTGGGCTCTATCCACTGTACCTCCTAGCTGCCCCTAGGTTGTTGTTTTTTTTTTTAAACTTAAAAACATTTTCCTGGTATAATTTGATTTTTGTTTGATTACAAGATAGTTATAGAAAAGAGATGTTAATTCATTAAAAAAACCAATGTATTATAAGAAGATCATTCACTTTTATGTTGGTTTTTGGCTAGGTTAAGAGGTATGAATAGTTCCAGTCTGGCAATTGGCTGCATTATACAAAGTAGGCTTTTATTTACATTGTGGGGCAATGAATATGTAACTGAGACTGTGTGTTCTTTACTGATTATATACCTAAACTTCTTGTTTTAAGGCTACTATTGAACTCTGCAGCACCCATGCAAACGATGCAGCTGCTCTGAAAGTTCTTTTTTCTTCTTTAATTTTGATTGCAAAACTGTTCTACAGTTTAAACTTTCAGGTAAGGATAGTCTTAATTCTTACTACTTTTTGATATTATCAGATAGTGTTTTATATTATAAAAATACTTGGATCTTATTTTACTAAGGAAGTTTGGTATCTCCTTACCATTTCCATTTAGTTATTTCAGTAGTCAGAATTCTGTATGAGAAAGACTGTTTCTGTATGCCAAAAATTTGTAAATTTTATCTCTGAAAGCTTCTTTCACCCAGTCAAATTGCTTTAGTAGATAGCTTAATTGCTCTGGCCAAAGTATTCATTGCTCCATAGCTAACCTTTAAATGATTAGTCTTATCTGCTATAGTTAGACAGATAATAGTCTGTCCTTGGATCTATACTGTAAGTTTTTATGTTTTGGTAGGACTTGCCAGAGCATAGCCTTCAAGACCCAAGCACTCAGTATTTCTCTTCATGTCACAATGAGACATCAGAGAAAGACTGCAACTCTTTTGCCCTTGATGTACAAAATATGAGACACTGCACCTTTTCTTCTTTTGAAATATGTATTTGAGAAGATCATGTTAAATTCACTAATTTGAGATATTTTAGCATTTGTTATTAATTGTTCAATATGTGAAACATACTTTATATTAAAGGTACTTGATGTTGAAAGTGATAAAAGAAAAAACATAGTGGCAGCTCTCTAATTTGTACGAGTGCTGTGTACACAAAATACTCTAATACAAAGATAAATGGAGAGGTAAGCAGTGCTACAGGACCTTAGACTACAGAATCTGTTTAACTTTGTTGGGGTGCCAGAGGGCTCAGAGAAGGTGTGGAAAATGGTACTAGAAAGGCAAGGTGAGTTGTAAACACTACAGTTTCCTGATTATAAAGTATTCACAGGGGTTTGGTATGAGAAAAGATAGATTGGAAAATCAGATCTTAGGGATCCTTGAATGCCAGGCTAACGAGTTTGGACTTTTTATTAAGTATGAACTAAGGAACATAAAAATTGGAGGACTTATAAAAATAGCATAATGCTTTGCTTTAATAAAATTTCTTCAGCCACCATCTATTAACTTTTTAGGACCTACCAGAATTTTTTGAAGATAATATGGAAACATGGATGAATAATTTCCATAACCTCTTAACTTTGGATAATAAGCTGCTTCAAACTGATGTAAGTATTATGTAAAGCATACTCTTGTTATTGTTCAGTCATGTCTGACTCTTCCTGATTGCATTTGGGGTTTTCTTGGCAAAGATACCAGAGTGATTTTCCATTTCCTAATCCAGCTCATTTTACAGATGAGGAAACTGAGGCAGACAGGGTGAAGTGACTTGCCCAGGGTCACACAGCTAGTAAGTATGTGAGGTCTGGTTTGAACTCAGGAAGATGAATCTTCCTGACTTCAGGCCCAGCACTCTATCCTCTACTACCTAGCTGTGCATAAAGCATACTAATTGTCTTTTATTTTACCTTCCTCAGTGATTGTTTATTGATTTTCTTCTAAGAGACTGGCTTGATATAAAATACTTGGAAAGCTTTAAAGGGTGACTAAGTATATCTGGAGTTCACTTTCCCAAATGCGCTTTTATACTCATGTGTAAATGAGACACTATAAGACAATATTCAGACAATTCAGATATTAATGTATTTCAGTTGATTCTACCATAAATTCTATCTTTAATTTTCATAATCTTAATTGATTTTAGTCCACTAATTTACAAATCCCTCTTCACTAAGAAAAATTTACTTTGTGTTTATGTCGTATATATTTATAGACATACATATTGTGTCTCCCAGCAGAAGGTTACAAGCCTTGAGGGCAGAGAGTGCTCTTTCATTATATCCCCAGTGCTTGACTTATTGTAGACACTTAATAAATAGCTACTTGTTGATTGATAGATTTGATCTTCTGTCACTGGCAAGGACATCACATCTCTGAGTTCTACTGTTGCTTGATTTAACAGCCTGAAGAAAGTTAATGAGATATAGTCAGGCCTGGAATTCAAATCTTGACTGTGTTACTACTGATGTGATATTGGACAAATCATTTTACCACTCAAGAGATTTTGTTTCCTTATTGATAAAATAAGGGGTTTGGATTTTAGATGATTTCTAAAGTCACTTCTGGCTCTAAATCCTGTGAGCCTGATTGATTATTCACACTGTGGAAATTCTGAAATACACAAAATAACTTGTTGTTTGAAAAACTGATATTTTAGTAGTACAGTAACCATTTTATTTCCAAATTGGAAATGAAGGAAAATATCAAATACATAAGAAGTGTCTGATCTGAAAATTAAAACTTTCTGATCTGTAATTTGGAAAAAAACGAACAACTTACGGAGTTTTAAAAAATTTTTATTTTGTTTTCCCCCTCTAGAACCTCAGTATTATTTATACTACCCATTTGGTAATCACATTCTGCCTTCTATGCTCTCATATTGTTATCCTCTGTTATTTAACTGTAGCATAGTTTCTCATTTCATGTTGTTGCATTATCTCCCCATTATACTGTAAGCTGTTTAAGGGGTTATAAATTTTACTGTCCCCATAGAGACTTTGCACAGTGCACTATGTACAATAGATTCTCAGTATTTGTTAATTAATTGATTTATGTTGGAGGTTATTATGTGATAGTTTTATAATAGAGGCAACTTGGTATGTGCTTAGAGGTTTGTTCTTGGAATGAGGAAGATCTGGTTTAAATCCTCCCTTTGACACTTAATGAGCTGTTTGACCCTGGACAAGTCATTTCACCTCTGTGTTCTCAGGCAGTTCCACAGGACTTACTGAGCCAGCTGTTCAAAGTTTTTCGTTCAGGAAAGAGTTCCATATCACCCACTATACCAACAAATTCTTGGGTTTTACATTACTGCTGTTCTCACATTAGCATGAAGAAACTTCTTTATCAAATTCAGTCAAATGTTTGATTAAACAAAATCATTCAAGCTATGTGCTTTAATTAACAACCTATTACTAATTCTAAAGAAATATAATTTGCTGTGTGACCCTGGGCAAGTCACTTAACCCCAGTTGCCTCAGCAAAAAAAAAAAAAAAAAGGAAATATAACTTGCAACTTGATAAAGCTGAATCAGTAGCTTACAAGTTCTCTGTAAAATGTCTTATTTTATCTCATTTTAATCTCCAGATATTTTCTATTTGAATCTTTAAAGCAGAGAGTCTTCTGAGAGCATAATTCAGCAATATCTCTTCAATGTAATTTTAGATAAATGTAAAATTGAAAATATTTCATCATTGACTGCCCTAAATGGTTGATTGAACAAATGAATCTTCATGTTTTACACTAGGAGTGGGGAATGTGGGGCCTTGAGGCCGAAGGTTACCCTCCTGTTTTACACCAATTCTTTGGATAGTACAATTTAGAGAACTTGATCCTTAGTAGCTTGAGTTTTATAGTCTTTGGTTTTGTTTTCTAAATTCATGGTAGTATATTTGAGTTTTCAGTTTTCTTTTATGTGAGGATGAAGAGGAAGCGGGCTTATTGGAGTTATTAAAATCCCAAATTTGTGATAACGCTGCACTCTATGCCCAAAAATATGATGAAGAATTCCAGCCATACCTGCCGCGATTTGTCACAGCAATCTGGAATTTATTAGTAACAACAGGCCAAGAAGTCAAATATGATTTGGTAAGTAGATGGTCAGAACAGATGTTAAGAACTTTGTTTTTCAAGAAATACAATGGTCAGTTATGTTTTTTAAGTGTTCTTTTTTGTGTTTTGTTCTAGTTGGTAAGTAATGCAATTCATTTCTGGCTTCAGTTTGTGAGAGACCTCATTATAAGAATCTCTTTGAAGATCAGAATACGCTCACAAGTATCTGCGAAAAGGTCATTGTTCCTAACATGGAATTTAGAGGTAACTATTGTCATTTATGCAACTAGCTTATTGGATAAATGGGGTCTTGATTTTAAAACAACCAGATAACGGGTTCATATGAAGTCATCAGTGCTCTTTTAAATTTTTTATGTACCTCTTATTTATTCAGTCCACATTTTTAGGTTTGAGAATAAAAGTGATGATTTTTCAGTTATTTCCTTCCTTAATCTTTATTGAACCTAGGCTCAGACCCTTCAAATAAAAGCAGTTTTTCACAGTGAGTCCTGATGTTTTCAGAGAGTTTGGAAACCTTTCCTTAGAACTGTTGACAGAAAAGATTCTTTTCTATAATGCTATTGGATTTAAGGGAAGATAGGATAGTTCAACTTGGCAGTAGATAAGGGCCAAAATTAAAACTGACTAAATTTATTTGGGCTGCAGATAGGTTTTTAGCATCTCATTTTCCAAGTAAAGGTACAATTAATGATTAAAGTATTTTGCAAATAAACCATATTTTTTAGAAAAGGAAATTTCAATTAATATCAATTAATTACACTTATTAAATTTTTTATTTATCATGAAATTGTTCTTCTCAGACTAGAGACAGTTGATTGTCACAGGTCACATGACAAACAGGAGAGAGTGTGCAGTGGCAGCCCACCTGCCAAGTTATATGTCGTGCACAATAGTGACTAGTGGCAGGTGGGTTAAGCGGGGCATGGACCTTGCACTCCCTACGTCTTTACTTTCTTTTACATCCTCTACGTATTTTTGCGGGCAGCCTGAAATGCTTTGGTGGGCCGCGTGTTGTGCAGGCCTTGTTTAACCTGTCAACTTAGGTGTCACGGTGCTATGCAATTTAATTTGGTTTGCTGATATCTTGGGGATTGTTTGTATCTTTTATGAAGTAAAATGAGCAAATTCTTTCAGAATATAAAATTGCAACCTTACTTGGTTTCTGCTTCATATTGATTTTAATTATGAGTGCCTGAATTATGCTTTTTACTGTGTAGACTCTTACCAAGGAGGTATCCTTCCTTCTAGGGTCTTGGAGCTTAATATGTAATATAATAGGTTAAGTAAGTTAGCAAATTTGTGAAGGTAGGAGGGAGCAAGTGTCCTATAAAACATGCTTTGGGTCATCTGGATCCTGCAGTGTCTAACTGTTACCTCAATTGACTTGATACTAGCCGCATTTCAGATGATATCTGCAGTTTGGTTGTGAACAAAAATTGCCATCTACTCAGTTGAGGCAAATTTGGTGTTTCTGTGAAATAAAACTGAAGTTAAAGAACTTAGCAACAAAGTATGATGACTTGTAAAATTGTTTCAATTCACAAATCAACTGTTACTTTGCAGCTGCTGATGAAGAGGCCTTTGAAGATAATTCTGAAGAGTACATAAGGAGGGATTTGGAAGGATCTGGTAATCTTTTATCTTTACTTATCCTGTTTTTGATTGATGATTTCTCTATTTGAATTGCATTTATTTATGAATATACCTCTCCTCCACCTTCTCAGCAAATCTTTGAGTATTTCCTCAAATTTATTTTTAGCATTCATTTTTTTATTTTGAGCTTCAAATATTCTCCCCCCCTTCCTTCCTCCACCCATTGAGAAAACAAGCAATATGATATCCATTATATAGGTAAAGTCATGCAAAACGTATTTCCATATTAGCCATGCTGCAAAATAAATGAAAGGCAAGGAAAAATAAAGTGAAAAAAAAGTATGCTTCAGTCTGCACTCAGTTCATGAGTTATCTCTGTGGAGGTGGATAGCATTTTTCATCGTATTTTGGAATTGTCCTGGATCATTATACTGATCAGGGTAGCTGTCTTTCACAGTTGATTGTCATTGTGCATAATGTTCTCACTTTATTTTGCCATCAGTTCATAAAAGTCTTCCTAGGTTTTTCTGAAACTTTCCACCTCTTCATTTCTTTTAGCACAGAAGTATTCTATCACAATCGTATGCTACAGCTTGTTTGGCCATTCCCCAACTGATGGGCATCCCGTCAATTTTCATTTCTTTGCTACCACATAAAGAGCTGCTATAAATATTTTTGTACACATAGGTCATTTACTTTTTCTTTTGACCTCTTTGGAATATACAGACCTAGTAGTGATATTGCTGAGTCAAAATGTGTAAAGTTTTATAGCCCCTGAGATAGGCCTGCACAACCTGTGGCCCGCAGGCACACCAAAGGATTTCAGGCAGCCCGTGAAAAATAATAGAGGCTATTTCCCGCTGCATTTTTGGTGGCCCCGCAGGTTATGCCGGCATAGTTCCAAATTGTTCTCTAGACCAGTTCACAACTCTACCAGTGTTCACTAATATATCTATTTTTCTCTCATCCCCTTCAACATCTGTCATTTCTGGTAGGTGTGAAGTGGTGTCTCACAGCTGTTTTAATTTGCGTTTCTCTATCAGTTATTTTGAGCATTTTTTCATATGGTTATTGATGGTTTTGATTTCCTTTTATGGGAACTGTTTGTTTACCTTTTGACTTTTTATCGATTGGGGAGTGGCTCTTATTTTTATAAATTTGGTTCAGTTCCTTATATATTTGAGAAATGAGGCTTTTATCAGAGAAATTTGCTGTAAAAAACTTCCTTTATTTTCCTTCTTCCAATTTTGGCTGCATTGGTTTTATTTTTGCAAAAACTTAAATTTCATGTAATAAAAATCATCTGTTTTAACTCCTGTGATCTTCTCTGTCTCTTGTTTGGTCATAAAATCTACCCTTATCTATAAGTTTGACATATAATTTTTTTTTTCCATACTCCCTTGATTTGCTTCTGTCACCCTTTATATCTAAAGCACATGTGCATTTTGACTTGACATATGGTGTGAGAAGTTGATCTATGCCTACTTTCCAATTTTCCCAGCAGTTTTTGTTGACTAGTGAATTCCTGCTTGTAATGGTTGGATCTTGGGTTTATCAAACACTAGATTACTATGGTTATTTATTTATGTATATTATATATGTAATCTATTCCACTGATCAACCCACTCTATTTCTTATTCAGTACCAGATTATTTTAATGTGAGTCATTCTTTATAAACAGATTTAAAAGAGGAAAAAATAGTTCAGTAAAAACAGCTTGCACATTGATTACATCTGACAGCAAATACAACATTTCATACCCATATTTAGCTACCTATATATTGAAGAGAGGGTGATGAGTTTTCTCACTTCTTCTGTGGCTAAACTTGGCTATTATAAATATGTAACATTGAGTTTTAAGTTCTTGTTAATATATCTTTTAACCCCTAAATTTTTCCCTCTCACTTAATAGTATTTTATTTCTACCATTTATATGTAAAGATAGTTTTCAACATTCGCTTTTATAAAATTTTGAGTTCCAATTTTTTTCTCTCTCCCTCTCTGTCCTCCCTCCTCCCCAAGATGGTATGCATCTGATATAGGCTATACATGTACAGTCCTATTAGACATTTCCACATTAGTGATATTGTGAAAGAAAAATCAGAAGAAAAGGGGAAAACTCAGAGAACTGTATTTCCTTCCATCCTATTTGACACCCCCCTATTTATTCTATTGTCTCTCTCCTTTCACCCTGCGCTTCCTCAGAAGTGTTTTGCTTTTGACTGACTCCTCCAATCTGCCCTCCCTTCTATTACCTCCTCCTCCTTTTCTTACCTCTCCCTTCTTCTCTTATCCCTTTTCCTTCCTATAGGGTAAGATAGATTTCTGTACCCAATTGTGTGTATGTTATTCTCTCTCTGAGCCAGTTATGGTGAGAGTAATATAACCCTTAAATTCTTACTGAACTGATCTTAGAGGTTATTGAATTTATGTTCTTCCATATTAATTGGGGGTGGGAGAAAGATGAAAATATCTTCTTAATTTAAAAAAGGCATTAAGTCAGATTTATAATGAATAGTTAGCCAAAAAAGCATTTATTAAAGCACCAACTATGTGCTCTGCTAAGTGCTGGGGAACCAAAAAAATGCAAAAGACATTTTGCTCTCAAGGAACTTACAGTCTAATAGAAACAACATGCAAACAATTATGAACAAATGAAATATATACAGGATAAATTAGAGATGATCAACAGAGGGAATGTAGTAACATTAAAGGGAATTGTGGGAGCAAAAACCTTCCTGAAGAAGGTGGAATTTTAGCTGGTACTTGAAAGACACCAGGGAGAGCTGGAGAATGGAGATGAGGTTGGGAAGATTTTCTAGGTGCTGGAAAAAAATAAGAGGAAGCCGGTTATGAAGGGCTTTGAATGTTAAATAGCATTTTATATATGATCTTGGAGGTAATACAGAGACACTGGGATTGATTATAAGGGGCATAGGGTAACACATCAGACATGGGCTACAGGAAAATAATTTCTGACAGCTAAATGGTAGATGGACTAGAGAACGGAGAGACAAAGTAGGGAGACAAACCAGCACTCTGTTGCAGTAGTTCAGGCATGAGCTGATGAGATCCTCCACCATACTGGTAGCAGTGTCAGAGGAGAGAAGAGAATATATATTAGGGATGTTATGAAGGTAGAAATGAGAGGACTTGGCAACAGATTGGATATAGGGGTTGAAAGAGAGTAAAGAGTGGAGGAGGACACCTAGGTTGTGAGTCCAAGTGACTAGGAGTGTGATGGTGTCTTCAACAGCTTGTTCACAGCCTCATAGTGAGGGAGTCTGTGGGGTCAGGTCGTTTCTGGCACTCACACTTACTAGCTGTATGATTGTATACATTTTACTTAATCTTCCTGAACCTCATTTTTGGTTGATACCATCCTGCTTTACCTAGATTATCTTGAGGAAAGTACTTAGTGAATTATAAAGTGTTCTCTAAGTGTGAGCTTGTTCATAATTTAGTGCTTTTAACCTGAAATTCCTTCATGCAACGCATCACCAGCAACATAAAAACTCACATACCTTATAATTTCATAGGCCTCATTTGTGATATTACAAAAGCTTTATTATCTTCTTAGATTATGTTTCATAGTTAATTTTTATTTGTTTTGCCATCATAAGTTATCTTCCTTTATCTTGGGTTCATTTTGTCTGTTTGGTGTATAGTAGTTTATGTCTTTAACTACTTACTGTCTAATTTTTTTCTCTTTCCTGTCATCATTTTCCCCTTTTTGATTTTATAGATATTGATACCAGACGCAGGGCTGCTTGTGATCTAGTACGGGGTCTATGCAAGTTTTTTGAAGGACCTGTGACAGGAATCTTCTCTGGTTATGTCAATTCTATGCTTCAGGAATATGCCAAGAACCCATCTGTCAACTGGAAACACAAAGATGCAGCAATTTATCTAGTAACATCATTAGCTTCGAAAGCTCAGACGCAAAGAGTAATGCCTTTCATTTATGGTTTTATTTTAAGGAATTATTGGAAGTCTTGTTGGCCTCGTTCTTGTTTGGGTAGAGGTGAATAGTGTGGTGAAGGGGAACCCTGGGTAGAAAATTAGGAGACCTTCTAGTATTGGTTCTGCTGTGTCTTACTATGTGACTTGAGATAAAACTGTTGATCTTCTCTTGGCTTCATGTTTTTCATTTTTAAAAAAAGGACTAGATCACCTATATTATACATTACTGTTCTGGTGTGCTGTGATTTCCAGTCAAGAAATAGTAGTATCATGGCAATTGTAGATTGGCTTTATTTGCCTCCCTCACTTAACCACTCATTTCTTTGGTGTTCTAAGGTTTGCAAAACACCTTTCTCACAAATAACTAAGGTAGTACAAGCAGAGCTGCAACTTGAATTCAGGTCTTCTGACTCTAATTTCAGTACTCTTTCTGTTATTACACAGCCATGATTATCAGCTTAACCTCTCTCAGAGAATAATTCTGGTGGTACAGGGTGGCCTAATATCTGTTGAGGGTGAAAATAATTACTAGTTACCGCATTTGTTACCTGAGCTCAGTTTTTTGGTTTCTAAAACATATCATGGATATTTGCTCAGTGGCATATTCCACTGATTTATGAGGCAGTCATGTTCTTTACTGTTCTGCTGTAATTCTCAAGCGCTGCTTGGTACTTCTTTGTATGGGATGTTTGGTTTATGTTTTGAAGTCCTAGTCTTTTTTTTAAAGTACACATTTGTTAAGCCCCCTATATTTCTATTATGGCAGGTTAGATTCTATAGGATTTTAATTCCATTTGGATTTAAATTTCTTTTTCAGCATGGAATTACACAAGCAAATGAACTTGTAAATCTTACTGAGTTCTTTGTGAATCACATTCAGCCTGATTTGAAATCAGCCAATGGTAAGTTGAGCTTTGTTAACTTCTCCCCCCCCCCATTTTGTTATGGGCTCTATTTCTATAGATTAAATCTGATTATGGAAAAGATATCATTTAAGACCAAAAACCCCATGATTTTTATCAGTCTGGAGGTCCCATACAGTTTAATGAAATTTTTAGTTTTTGTAGATTTTTGAAAGATGCCTCTTTTTGTTTGTTTTTTGCTTCATAGAGTACATTTATACTTTAAAAAAACATACTTTTCAGATTTATATATTGAGGATAAAATTCTTGTAATTGTCTGGACCCTAATATGACATGACAGCAATAACAGTAAGCATTTATACAGTGCTTTAAGTTTTGCAAAGAGGGTTACAAATATTATTTGATTCTTACAACAACCTTGGCAAGTAGTGCTATTATTATACCCATTTTACAGATGAGGAAACTTCAGGCAGACAGAAGTAGGTGACTTCCTCAGGGCCATGTACTTACTAAATGTCTGAGGCAGGATTTGAATTCGGCTCTTTTGTGTCCTGGTTCAATACTCTTATCTACTAGACCACCTAGCTGCATAACATCTACCATTGGTGGGGCATTTTTCCATTAGGAAGTTTTTAAATTAGAGGTATTTACTCTTCCTTAGTATGGTAGTCCTTTCAGTTACTTATTTCCATGTCATTGGAGAGCAGGGCATGGGGGGGGGATGCATTTATACTCTTGGATTTGGGGGGTTAGCTGTGGGTAAGAGCTGTACTATGGCTCCTTTGTATGAGATTTTTGGGTAACCCACAGTAAATTTATTTGGACTGTTTACACATGTTACCTTTCCTTATTGTGTGGCCAGGCTGGCTGAGGACCTTGCCTCAAGGGAAGTACTTAGAATTCTTAGTTCTGCTCTAACTGGATATGAGCTTTCCCCAAAAGGCAACACGCCATGCCTAATTGCACAATTAAAAACACATGGCTTATGGGAAGACTGCGGTTAGAAACATAATGCTTAAAAACTTCATCAGTGATGTATTAAAAAAAAAAAGTTTGGAGCATAATAAGAATGGTTGCACAATTTTATACATGTTAAATACATAGATACTACAGTAAAAAGTGGCCTAGTCCTTTGCCTTAGCTTGCTGCTCGTCCCAGTTCTGGTTCTGATCTGGCTTTGCATAGTCTCAGGCAAGTTAATCAGGTCAAAGTTGTAGGCTCCCTCCCTATCCCTCCTATCTGCAGGTAGGTAAGGGGAACAGCAGACCAGTCTTCTGCTCACAGCTCCTACTACACCAGAAGATATACAGAAAATAAGGCACTTTACCTTGACAAAGACCTGAAGTTTGCATGTGAAAGTGGGTGTCAGAAGGATTACAGCTAGTGAGTTATTGTGAGGTCATGCAGTTTTCTGCATTCCTTTTTTTTTTTTTTTAACAAAAACCACACCCATTTTATTTTATTTATTTATTTTGCTAGGCAGTGGGGTTAAGTGACTCACACAGCTAGTGAGTGTTATGTGCCTGAGGCTGTATTTGAACTCATGTTCTCCTGACTCCAGAGCCAGCGCTCTATCCACTGTGTCATCTAGCTGCCCCAGTTTTCTGCATTCTTGATGTTTCTCTTAGAAGAAGTTTTGTGTAAGCAAAGCCTGAAATTCACATTATGCTTAAAATGTTCCCTAATATCAGTTGCTGTGGAACAAATTCATGTTTTCAAAACAAGCATTATAGCAGAGCTGCATATATTAACATAAAATCTTTTTGTAGTAGTTCTTAACTCTTCCTAAAGGACTGGAAAAGGAATTAAAGCATAAGTAAAACCAATTTGTACCTCCAGATGTCTTAAGTTTTGGAATGATTTATTTATGGTTTGCTGTTCAGTGATTTAGTGCTTGTGACTTGAGTTACCACGATGTTCTGTTTTTCTTTCTTAGTGAATGAATTTCCTGTACTTAAAGCTGATGGTATCAAATATATCATGATTTTCAGAAATCAAGTAAGTTGTTTTTTCTTTTTCGATCACTGTTTACCTCCTAAATCTCTTAATGCTTTATATATCAGATTTCTTGCCTATTTACCTAAAGTATTATCATGTGTTTTCCTTTAATGATAAGTTTTACAAGATATATTTTGCTAACATTTGATGTAGGCTTTCTCTCTCCTTAATTATTTTTTTTTTTGAGTTATTTAGAAAGCAGTTTTAATTTTTTCAGCAATGCAATTATGAATCTTTTAACATTAACAGATTGTTTCCCCCGTGATTCAGGTACTTTAACAAGCTCTAACCCCTTTAGAATACTTTTTCATTCTCACCAAAAAACTTTTAAGGTCAGTGTAAATATCTGCTGTGATTTTATTTTATTTTTTTAAGCAAGGAATAGTCTTTAAACTAGAGTGTTTAGTATACAGTGAGAGGTAATAATGTTATTCGTCTATCATTTCTGAACAGACTTAACTGAATATATATTTTTGATAGTTCTTTGGCATCAGATTTTTTAAAACTTTGGTTTTTCATAATTTCCTTTTATTAGTATAACATAATCTTTTTCCGATTTTGGCACTTTACAATTTGCCCACGTATTTGCAAGATTCTCGCCAGTCATAGGTGATTATTATTCTGTATTGAGTTTAAAGTGTTTTGTTCCACTGTAGATTCCTAGTTGGTCTTTTAAAAAATTAGAGTAGCAAATCATTGGACAGCTTGGCATATTGAAAAGTAGTATGCTTCAGAGAGTCAGAAAGCCTGGGTTGGATCCTGTCTTTGAAGCACACTGGCTTTGGGACAGCCTTGGGCAAGTCAGTTGCCCCCAGGCAGTTGTAGGAGTCAGTTGGTGTTTTTTTTGGTGTTGTTGTTTGTTTGCTTTTTGTTTTTGGTGTTCTGGACCCAAGTCTTTGGGGTGAGAACCTCTCTTTGCTGGTGAAATCACATGTTCAGTCTGTTTTTTAAAATAGCTTTTAAACTTCTAAAATAAACTCTCAGATGTAAGTAAAAATCTTTTTTTAAAATTTATATCTATTTATGTAGATGTACATATTTTTATTATGAATGAAAAGCGTATTACTGAATTATTCAGGTACCTAAAGAGCAACTTTTGGCTTCCATTCCTCTTCTGATCAATCATCTTCAAGCGGAAAGTATTGTGGTTCATACATATGCAGCTCATGCTCTTGAAAGACTGTTTACCATGAAAGGATCCAACAACACTATACTGTAAGTTTTCTGACACCAGAATTGTGGCATTTATGGTTTGAAGTTGTACATGGAGAAGCTTTGCTGAGCCTACTTAGTGAAGGTCATAAGTTGTGCCTCCCTTGAACCATTTCACTTACTCCATTCACGCTTTCCATTTAGAGTAGATAGAGGAAAAACAGTGAATGCTCAAAAACATTCTTTGTGGCTTTGGGGCTATTTGGTTTGAGTATGTATGTCCCATAGGCCTACCTCTGAGGAAAAAAGTTGCCTGTCTAATTAATTTGGCTTTGGTTTGTCCCATCATTATTTTCTGAAGTCATCTGGCGGGAAATAGCCTATTGGCTTACAGAGTGGTAGAAATTAGTTTAGGATTAAAATTTTTGCTTTAGGTTAATCCATAGTAAAAATAGTTATTAGTATTAATTGGAAATTGTGTTTATCTATAGTATTACAGCTGCAGAAATCGCACCCTTTGTAGAGATTCTGCTAACAAACCTTTTCAAAGCACTCACACTTCCTGGCTCTTCTGAAAATGAGTATATAATGAAAGGTAAGCATTTCTCTAGCATACCTTGAGACCATAACTAAATATCTAATTTCAAATTCCAAGCAGTAATTACTCAGAATTGTAGTTATGTGCTTTAAAAACTGTATATGTAAAAAACAACAAAAAAATGTGTATGTATGCCAAAACTATGGTTTTTTTTCCCAAAACTATGTTTAAAAAAATTTCTAAGATGTTTAGGAAATGTAATAGGAAAATAGCTTTTTAATTACAAATTAAGATTATTGTAGGAAAAATAACAGTTTCAGAAATGGTACACTTTTCCTGAAGAAGTGGCTAACTCCTTGTCTTTTATTACAAAGTAGTTTCAATATCTCCTATGCCTTGGCAAAAATGGTTGTCCTCTACATAGATGTGAAGTGTTTGCATAACATTTGCCTAGTGCAGTGATATCAAACTGAAATGGGGGGGGATGGGCGCTAATCCTTGCATAAGGATCTCTGTAGGCAGGATTCTTGTTGACTTAATTTTAAAATGTATTGTTATCTGTTTTTATTTTGTTAAATATTTTCCAGTTACATTTTAATCTGGTTCTGACCAATTTGGTAGTGGTGGACTGTTTGATACTTCAAGGTCCACATGTAGTTCTGTGTGTCTTGTGTAGGTTTCCTCATCTTTCCTTTTTTTCTCAGATTGTTGGTGTTTCTTTGGGCTCTCTAGATGCTCCAAGTGGAGGCTTCCATATCCTTTAGGCTAGATGTACTCACCTTGTAGTAGTGGTGGCACTTTAGGCCTTCTGCGGCTCCCAAATTTATAGGTTTCTCTGCTGTTCCCTCTTTCCTTTTCTCCTAGTCTTTGCCTTAGGTTTGCTAAAAGAGCCCAGGGGCACTAACGAGTTAAGACTATTGTCAGCTAAAATTGTTGAGGGCTTATTATGTAGGGTAAGAGACAGAGAATTACAGTCATCCCTTGACATTCTCAGGTTTCATATTCACAGTTCTGGTTATTTGGGGTTTGATTATCCATAATTAAATGGAGATTTTTAGAGATTTGCTGTGGAAAATTACTGACTAGGTATGTATGTAAAGAAAACTTTGAAAAATTTTAGTAAATCATAAATACATATTGTGTGTTATGACTCTTTTAACATTTATTACCATAAGTATATTTACATAAATTTATAATAAACAGTTAGATTTTTGTGAAAAGTTTCAGTGTGTTAAAGAACTACTGGCTATGCACTCTCTTGGGAATGCCTCTCCTGCTTTTCTCAAAATGAGCTTGGTATCTTGCAATTTTTGTAGAAGGAAATCAATCTGTGAAGCAGTTGCTGCAGCTTCACAGGCAGCTGGGAAGACTCAGCTTAGTGTGTGAGATGCTAATCTGTCTCACATAGAAACTAACTTTTTACGGGTGCGGTGTGTTGTTTTACTTGTTTTGTGTGAAGTAAATATGATCAGAATTGTTAAAAGTAAAAGTTTGGGGTGGGGCCTAGAGTGAGTTGTGGTTTTTCATATTCACAGGCATCTTATGCCCTTAACCCCCATGAATGTTGAGGTATGACTTTAAAGTGTTGTCTGATGCAAAATAGATATTTGAAATTTTGTGAACATAATAATAGCCAACATTTATATCACACTTTAAGGTTTGCAGACATCTGTATTCCATATTTTATTTGATGCTCATAACAGCCCTGAGATGTAGTTGCTGTTATTATCCTCTTATTACAGATGAGGAATATGAGGCATGTAAGTGAAATAACTTGCCCAGGGTCACATGGCTAATAAGTGTCTTAGGTCGAATTTAAACGCAGCTCTTCTTGTTCCAGGCCCAGTGCTCTGGTCATTGTAATACCTAACTCCATTTCACAATGGAATCAGAGGCTTTTTTTCCTTAAGCTGTTGTTGTTGTGTTCTGGAATTTTGACTAAGCCTGATTTCTTTTTCCCTTTTTCTTTTACAGCTATTATGAGAAGCTTTTCTCTCCTGCAAGAAGCCATAATTCCATACATCCCCACTCTCATCACACAGCTTACACAGAAGCTGTTAGCTGTTAGTAAGGTAAAGGAGAGACAGTTCTGATATATAAATCACACTTTGGTTCTCTGCATACTCCGTTGTCATAAGTTAGACATTGGGAGGAGGGCTGTTATTTCTTTCAGACTATCATTTTGCTAAATGGCACCCTATTGGCCAACAAGATTTCCAAAATTTGATGTTATTTTCAGGGAGTGACATTGGACTCTGGGGAAAATCTGACTCCACGTGTAATAGACATTTTAGTGAATAATGACTCCTTAGAAACTGTAATTCTTTTTGTAATCAAATCTTTGTTTAGGAAATTTGTCATTTACTGTATTTTCATTTGATGTTATAGCTAGAAAAAAATCTATAATAGCTCCCAGTAAAACTTGTGTTTTAGGCTTTAGTCCTATCTTGAGGACCTTAGTTTGTCAAAAAAATTTGTCACTGAGTCTGTCTTCTCTTCCCTGTTTTCTTCCTTTACTCCTGTGTCCTACTCCTTACTTCTTTTTAGAAGCAGTTCTTAAGCATTTTGTAAGCAGTTGCTAGATTTATATTTAAGTACTTGGGATAACTTAATAGATTAAAAACCAGTTATTGTTTCACAGTTGACTGTTTACCTTTTTTTGTATCCATTCCTAGCTACTGCATTAAAAGATATGGTTCAGTATTTCAGCTGTTTAATTTTTACTGGGTGATATAACAGTTGAAGTCACTAAATAATCTTTAATGTCTTTTCCTGCTCTAAAATTCACTGATAATATAATTACTTTCCTATGTATCCCGAAAAAATTTTTTGTGTAGAATATGAATACTGTACTCTGCATTTTAGACACAGAAAAGTCTCCCAGGAATAATTTATAAAAAATTTCTCATTATTCTAATCCAAATGTTTGGCTTGAAGAAAGAAATGTCCATAATCATCCCTCATGTTCTCAGACATCTCTCAACACAAGACATTTTAAAGTAACATAGAAACTTTGAACAAGGAAAATATCACAGTATGGAAAAACATTATTACATAATTTAGGGTTACCATCTAATAGGAAAGGTAGTCACTTGATCTTTTTGGTACACCCTTGGAAAGTTGATTTCCTAAAATCAATGGGTCTGACTTTGACCACTCTTCTTAGGAGTTTCTCCTGATTAATTCTCTTGAGTAGGTAGATCAGTCAAAGTCCTTGGCTCTAATAGCTGAGCAAAGAGTCCCTGTGGGTGATTTATAGGGGGGAGTTAGTCAAGATTTCTGATTTGATATCTAAAGCAAGACTGATAAGGCTCTCTCTTCCAGATTAATATAAAGGCTTCAGGCTAGATAATACTTTAAATCCTTCTTGAAGGGCGAAGAGGGGGCTTTGCTTCCATCCTAGTTTGCTTTTACAAATATTTTGGTTTTGCAGTAGAATAAAAGAGGCAAAAGAATTCCTAGTTTAAATGTATTTTAAGTTTACCTATATAAAACTTAAATTTGAAAAACTGCTTTTTAGGGTCTCTTTTTACTTATGAAATAATTAATACAAATAGGAAAGTATTGCAAAGTACAAAGAGCCATGCCTATATTCTGTAGTTCCAATATCCTCTTTCTTACCTAAATCATCACACCTGGAGTTCAGTTCTGGGAGCCACATCTTAAGGAAGACCTTGACAAATTGAAGTGTATCCAGAGGAGGTATGCTAACTTAGTCTGGTAGCCATGCTACATGAGGATTGCTTGAAGATAGTGGGAACATACTACAACTTTGAGGGTTGCCATGGGGAAGAGGGATTATACTTGTTTTGCTTGGATCCAGAAGGAAGATTTAGAAACCCTGTGGGGAAGTTTCAGGGAAGTACATTTCATTTCAGTGTAAATAATAACTTCCTAAAAGTTAGAATTACTTTGGGAGGTTGTGAATTCTCCTTTACTAGAGGTTTTTATGTGGAAGTTGGATACCCAGTTATCAGGGATGTACCTTTGGCTTATCCAGCTCTCAGACTGATTCTAAATTCTGGCTCTCCTGTGCAATATTGCCTCCCTTTAAACCTGTCTTCTTGTCTGTAAAAATACTTGAAATTACTGTTTGCCCCAAAAAGTCTCTGCAAGCTGTAAAACACCATATGTATAATTTGGGCCATTATTAGAAAGTAAAATAAAGGCATTTTATCCCAAGGCTTTATCAGCAGTTTAACATAATTACTTAAGTGCTAACTATAATTTGCATTGATTTTATTTTCTGTTGCAGAACCCAAGCAAACCTCACTTTAATCATTACATGTTTGAGGCAATATGTTTATCTATAAGGATAACTTGCAAAGCCAACCCTGCTGCTGTTGTAAACTTTGAGGAGGCTTTGTTTATGGTATTTACAGAAATTCTGCAGAATGATGTACAAGGTAAGTTAGTGGAAGGTCCTCTGTTGCTGAACAAAGGAGTAAGAATGGTGGTTGTAAATTGTAGCCGGCTTAAGGGGTAAACATCTGTATGATGTGGTTGTTAGTTACATTGATTCTAAAGTGAATTTTTTTTTCCCTGCTTCAAATAGAGTTTATTCCATACGTGTTTCAAGTGATGTCTTTGCTTCTGGAAACACACAAAAATGGCATTCCATCTTCCTACATGGCCTTGTTTCCTCACCTCCTCCAGCCAGTGCTGTGGGAAAGAGCAGGAAATATACCTCCTCTGGTGAGACTCCTCCAGGCATTTTTGGAAAAAGGTTCAAATACAATAGCAAGTGCTGCAGCAGATAAAATTGTAAGTTGGATTAATTTTGACTCCCAGTTATAATTTTCAAAGCTAGCTTTATGAAGCTAATTAAAGTGTGTTTTAATTTTTTTAAGACGTTACATTGAATCAGTAGATAATATTAATGTAGGTTCTTGTTTCTTCCTCTTTAAAATTAGTTCAGTATACTTACATTATCTCCTTCAAGGATCTTGTGAGGAAAATGCTTTGTAATATTTTGAACACTATAGATATTTGAATTATTTTTAGCTAGATTATTAAAATATGCCCATTCATGACACCTGAAAAGCTAGTACTATGAGATCTCCACTTTGGGAAATGGGGTCATTAAAAAAAAAAATAACCTTAGCAGCTGTACTTGCAGTCAGAGGAGCTGAATTTTCTGTAATGGCTTTGCCTAAGTACTTACTGACCTTGAAAAAATGACTTAATGTCTTTGAACTTCAGGTTTATCACTACATAGGTCCCACTTTAAGGTCCCATCTGTAATCCCATGAGAAAAATCATAAAAATAATAGTTTTGACCTTACCCACCAAACTTTTTTTTTTAATGAATGAAATTATTACCTGTTGGCTTAAAGGGCTTAGAGTTTCACAGCCTTTTTTCTTCCTTATCTTCCTTATGCTCTTTACGAATGGAAATGGTACCATATGGTGACTTGTAGTGGAAAGAACACCATACATGAAAGCCAGAAAACCTAGATTAGAGGCACTTACTAGCAGCATGATGGTGGGGAAGTCACTTAACCTCCCTGACTGTTTCCACGTTGGTGAAATGGGGGTAAAAGTACTTGTAGTATCTGCATGTTCATTGTAAATTGAGTAAATACTTTGTTAATTAGTAAGACAGTAGGTAGCTATGAAGAGTTACTAAGAAGAATTAGTAAGCAACAGGAAGGTCTTTGAATTTATCTGATTTTCCCACTGGGGTATGCCATTCTACAATGTGACATTCATAGGCCAAAGATGAACCTTCTCATAAACAGATTGGAAGCCATGTGACAAAGAATTGCTTAGTGGGAGGTTGAATACTTCTGGGGTTGAGTCTCTTTTCTAACTATTGGCACAGTTCTAGGATAGCCATTTATATTTTAGTCAGTGATATATGCTGATATTCATGTATCACTGGAGGCAGATCCATTACTAAGGAATTTTTACATCTGGGACAAGTACCACAAAGCATTCCCAGCATAAGCTATACAAAAGGGTATCTGAATTGGAGGATGGAGTGTACCCTACTCCAAGGGAGGGAGCAGAGACTCTGGGATACCATAAGCTTATTCATGGGAAGCCTAATCTGTCCCTCAGAGGAAGAGGGCTTCTGGGGAGCTTCCTATTTTATTTAATAACGCTGGTAACTGGATTTCTGGCCTTGTAACAGGAGGTGTGACAGATTCCAGTTATAAAAGGTGATGGCATTTGAGGTGGAACGTTTTTTTTTTTGTTTTGTTTTGTTTTTTGGTGGGGTTAAGTGACTTGCTCACACAGCTAGTAAGTGTTATGTGTCTGAGTTGGATTTGAACTCAGGTCCTTTTAAATCCAGGGCCAGTTTTCTCTCCACCACGCCACCTAGCTGCCCTGAGTTTTTTTTTTAATCTTTTTTTTTTTTTTGCCAATTGGGGTTAAGTGACTTGCCCAGGGTCACACAGCTAGTAAGGGTGAAATGTTTGGTCTGAGGCTGGATTTGAACTCAGGTCCTCCTGACTTCAGGGCCGGTGCTCTATCCACTGCCCCACCCAGCTGCCCCCCTGACTTTTTTTTTTTAATGACATCAGAAACATAGTTAATTATGTTCAATGCAGTATTTTCATTGCGTTTGAAAGAACCTAATGTTAACGTTGCTGGGGTTTTTTTTTAATCTTTTAGCATCTTTTTAACATGTTGATGATGTGTTTAACTAATATATGCAGAACGAAGAAGTGGTGTTGTTTTTTTTCCCCCCTGAGCTGTTTTATTTAATTATGACCATTTTTTTTCCCTTACAGCCTGGATTACTAGGTGTTTTCCAGAAACTTATTGCTTCTAAAGCAAATGATCACCAAGGCTTCTTTCTTCTCAATAGTATTATTGAGCACATGCCTCCGTGAGTATGAGTACAGTTCTGTTTGTGTTTGATCACTTCTTCATGCCATGTTAAGTAAGATAATAAAGCTGTTTCAATAATGTCATACTTTCATTCTATTCCCTAGGGAGTCAGTTGACCAGTACAGAAAGCAAATCTTCATTCTCCTGTTCCAAAGACTTCAGAATTCTAAAACCACCAAGTTTATCAAGAGTAAGTGAAGAGAGCACTAGATATTTTGGTGATGTACAGAAATTTTTGTTCAAAAAAAAAAGTGGAAAAATTACTAGAAATCTTGATCATAAATAATCTTATTTACTAAACCACATACACATGAATTCTGTGCTTCATGTGATGTGAATTCTTAGATAATCAATAAAAATCCCTTCCTGTTGGATAGCTTATGATCCTGTAAATAGGCTTCTATGAGAAAATTGTTATTCTCGCTATTCATTATTTATCTGTGTGTGTGTGGGGGGTGCAATTGGGGTTAAGTGACTTGCCTAGGGTGACACAGCCAGTAAGTGTCAACTGTCTGAGGCCAGATTTGAACTCAGATCCTCCTGACACCAAGGCCAGAATTCTATCCACTGTACCACCTAACTGCCCCTTTTTAAAAAATACAAAATATTCTCATTAAAATTTTTATTTTTGTTTTTCTGTGCTTGACAAACGTGAAACATAAATGAAAATTTCATCAACACAGGACAGAAAAAGAGAATTATTTACAAAGTCACAATCTTTTACAGCATTCATATTTAATTATATAAAAATATTTAATTTCTTTTTTCCCTGCCTACTTTTATTCCTATCCCAGTTTTTAATGAATTTGTTGATGTCTAATGAGGGGAATAGCATTGGTTTTGGCATCAGAAGGCCTACTTTCGGATTTCAGCTCCCAGCTCTTAACCATTTCTACAATAGTGAGCAAATCCCCTCACCTTTCTAAATCTCAATTTCCCTCAGATTAAAAATGTTCTTGTATCACTTAACTGTTAGTATTTGGAGGCAAGTATTTTACAAACCTTAGAGGGTTGTATAAATAGGAGGCTATTGGAGCTAAGGCCAAGAATATTCCATGGACAAATGAATTAGGGAAATGATGGCTTATAGCAGATATTTTTAAAATATTTTGGCTTCTATTATTTACATTGGTAAGGGAATCCCAACTTAGGAACAGATTGTAGTTTTTTTAAAAAAGAACTTTAAAAAATTTAAAAATTAAAAAAAAATTTTGGTAAAATTAACAATAACCAACACAAACATTTCACTGTACAAAGAAGAAAAAAAGAAGGTAGAATTTGAAATTGTCCCTGTTACATACATTTTACCTTTTTACAGCATGTGTATTCAACACTGCCAGAGTTGTCTCTTTCTGAACTCTTTTTCTCTGCATTTTTTGTTTCATTGATGTCTTTTCTTAATTTTCCTTTTTTTCCTCATCAAAATCATTACTCAACTTCCCCCTTATAAAAACCCTTCCTTATAACAAATAAATATAACCATGCAAAACAGATTTGCATATTGGCCATGTTTTGAAAGTGTATTTTTCTGAATCTGTGATAGTTTGGGGACTGGCAATTATGTATCTTTTTTTAGTGGTTACTTAGAACTCGGAATAGATTTTTCCATAGAAATAGTATTAAACCTAGTGTTTAGGTTACCATGCCAGCCACAGAGCTCTTTATAGTGTAACAGGCCTGAAGTAATAATAATATTTCAGCAGTATCTGACCTCTATTTGTAATATTTGTTTCCATGGGAGAATACACCTAGTGTGAACTGTGGATACTTGAATACATGTGACAATGATGGTGGCTCTAGTGGGAGGTCTCTGTTACTTTGGGGACTTAACTATTTTGGGCCTTAGTTTCCTGATTTTACAAAATGAGGGGAGTTGTATTAGTTGATAGCATAAGGTGTTTTCTAGCACTAAATTCTTTAAAAATCTGAGGAGAGAGGTTGGAAACACTGCTGACTGACATATGTAATCACTTTAAGGCTGTAGTTGCACAATAGAAGACAATCTGTCTTTGATCCCTCACTCCCTAAAAATTCTGATTAAAGTGACAAAGGATGGTTACCTCAAGAGGGATGAGAACTGTAGGATGCAGGTATGAGTCTTCCATGACCAAGAGAAAGTCATTTAATCTTTTGGGTGTGTAAAATGAAGGAATTTGACCTATGACCCTGTGAATTACCCAGGTCAAATTCGGAAATTGAGAATGACCCATATGTAATAGGTTTTGAATTTGGGATGACCACATCTGCAGCATGAAATTCTATTATTAGCTGAACAGTTAATTCTACTGTACTTTAGTCAAGGTGTCACTGAAGTTTCAGATGACTTTTGTGTATTTCTAGATTTGTGTATTCTACATTTCCCTCTCCCTGCTCACTATGAACAAATCTAAAATCATTACCATTAAACATTTTTTTCTCAACAGGTTTCTTAGTCTTTATTAATTTATACTGCATAAAGTATGGGGCACTAGCACTTCAAGAGATCTTTGACAGCATACAGCCAAAGTAAGTATAATTGTCTTATGTTTATTTAGTGTTCAGTATAATTAAAATTTTATCTTCAAAAGTTTCTAACTTCTGTTCTTTGGATTTTTGCTCTATCAATATTTTTTAAAAAAAACAACCTAAAAAAGGGATGATATGTGATTTGTTAGCCCTCAAACCTGTGACCACTTTCTACCGCCTCCCATTGAGGGTCAGTATCAAAGTGTAACAGAAATTAAGACTTTGAAAGATCCCATCTAATGGCAGTTAAATCACAGCCTTATCCCTCTGTAAAGGTTATTGCCTCAATTGACTAAGGTTAATCTTGAGAAAGTAGAGTGCCAAATGTCTTTAGTTGTTGGCTCGTCATCCTTTTTGACCTGTGTAATATTTGACTTTGTCAGTCACTTTCTCCTTTCTAGTTTTTCATGACAGTCCTCTCTCCTTGTTCTCCTGTCTTTTTGATCACGCCTTCTTGGTCTCCCTTCCTGGTTTTTCATGTCACACTCACTACCCCAAGGCTCTGACCAGGGGGCCAATCCTTTTCTTTCTGCTCTATACTATACCTCTTGGTCATTTCATCAGGTCCTATGGATTCAGTTGTAATCTCTGCAGTTAGTGAGTCAACAAGTTCTTATTAAGAACTTATGACATTCTGGGAACTATACCTTATAAAGCACTGAGGAAACAATAGAAGTTAAAAACAGGCCTAGTCTTTCTGCTGAGCTAGTCATGCCTCACCAGCTGCCTTCTGGATATCTTGAACTGTAGGTCTCTCAAATTCAGCATGTCCAAAACAGAATTCAGTATCCTTTCCCTTAAAATCTTCCCCTCTTCTGAGCTATAGTATTGTCTAGGCTACCATCTTCTCCCAATCATCATGGCTTTCATCCTCTGTTGTCTATACCTCACTCATTTATCCACATTTCCAGTCTGCTTCGAAGTCTTATTTTTTTTTCCATAGCCTTCTCATATGTATCCCCTTCTCTCCCCTCACACAGCCACCACTATAGATCAGATTCACATTACCTTTTCACTTGGACAAGTGGCCTTCTGATTGGCCTCCTTGCCAATTTCTTTGCACTCCAAACCATCTTCTGCTCAGCTACAAAGTAATTTTTCTAAAGATCTGTGGATCTGATTAGGTTTCCTCCTTGGCCCTCTCTACTCCCAATTCAGGAGTAAACTCCAGTTGTCCCTATTATCCTGGATCAGCCATGAAGGCCCCGGTTGTTCATACTCTTTATAATCTGGTCCATTCTTTCCCTTTTCTGTCTTGAATTGTACTCCCTTCCACTCATTCTATATGATTTGGCTGTAAGTGCTGTTCCTTATCCATCGGTTGCATCTCCTGGCTGTCTCCCTATGCCTAGAATGCTTTGTTACCTCACTCTTGCCTCTTATTTTCACTAGATTCATTCAAGACTCAGATCAAATCTCACTTTCTGCAAGAAAACTTTCCCAATTCCCCTGCTGCTGCGCCTTCCCCCTCTGATTACCATCTGTTCTGTATATAGCATGTACATGGACCTAGTTTATTACATGTTATCTTCACTAGTAGAATGTGAGCTTCCTAAGGGTAGGGACCATATCCTGAGAGTCTTCATTTGCAACTTCAGCACTTGACACAATTCCTGGAACATAGTAGGCATTTAGTAACTGCTTGTTGACTGATTGCCTGACACAAGGCTTCTTGTATTTTCCTTTTCTCTGGTGTGTACATGCATTATCTCCTCCTTGCACCAGCTCTCCTGATAATAAATACCATTCTTCTTAAAGCCACTTGCTCATATAGGTAGAGTTGGGGAATGGGGGCAAGGCACCACCATGAGTACTCATGTTAAGCATAATGTTATTCGTGGTTGGTTTTGCACTTAGACATCCATCCTCTCTCCCACTCCATTCTGCCTTCTTTTTGGATTTTAGCTTCTTGTATCTCTTAGCTGTAGCCAATAATTCTTATCATCTTTATCCTTCTGCCTTTTCTACTTTACCTGAGTTTTCATATAACTTCAGTTCTTAGATTGTTATCATCACATACATGCAAAAGTTATTAGCAGGGGAATAAGAGACTAGCCTTTGCAGTTTCTCTTAAACTAGCAGATATATTTTGTGTGACTTTTGTATCCTGGGACTTGCTCACCAGATTGACACCTTGGCTGCCATAATTTGATTTCTACAATGTTTTTGGAGATGTGTTAGAAGGAAGATAGTCTTTATAAGAAATTCTTCTGGTCCCCAGTTACTTCTTCATCTCATTTTATTCAGGTGTTAGAACTTCATGTTTATCTTTAATTAAATTCCCCTACATAGCCAATGATGCAATTTAACTCATGGAGTGAGTTAGACTGTGATTAAAAATTGTAGTAATACTTTCTTTAGAAAATTACTTTGTCGAAGAGGCCTGATTAATGCTGATCATTATTTGTTTTCAAATATTTGTCTTGACTGGCCAAAGATGACCTTTCGGTCTTTTACTTGTGGCTCAAATCCCAGTAGGTAAAAACCTGTTCTTGCTAGTAGAAAGAATAATCTTTGAACTTGTTTGTCTTACTTTCAACATTTGCACAAAGATTATGCCTAAGCATCTTGCTTTTATTTTTTCATCATTGTCTTCTACTTTAATACTGATGCAGAGTGAATCTTTATTTTAACAGAATGTTTGGAATGGTTTTGGAGAAAATTATTATTCCTGAAATACAGAAAGTTTCTGGACAAGTAGAAAAGAAGATCTGTGCTGTTGGCATAACTAAATTACTAACAGAATGTCCTCCAATGATGGATACTGAGTACACAAAGCTTTGGTAAGTACAGAGATTTAAAGGTATTTTCATTATTATCCCTATGCATCTTTATGATCATAACATTGCTTTGCCAAAAGTTTTGGAAAGAACTCCAAATTGCAGTTCATGAGGCCTTCGTTTCTATATCCATACTGTGCCATTAGTTTCCTCTGTGATCTTGGGAAAGTCATTTTTCTCAGGGTCTTAGTTTCTTCATCTATAAAATGCTGGTGTCAGATTTTGTGACTAAAATTTAACAATCATCTTTTAATTGCCTTCTATGCATTGTTCTGATGAGACATTGAGGACTTAATACAGCCATGTTCAATTGTATTCAGTAAGTGTCCGACTGTTTTTGACCCCATTTGGGGTTTTCTTGGCAGAGATACTAGAGTGGTTTGCTATTTCCTTTTTTTCCAGCTCATTTTACAGATGAGGAACTGAGGCAAACAGGGTTAAATGACTTGCCAAAGGTCACACAACTAGGAAGTATCTGAGGCCAGGTTTGAACTGAAGAAGATGAGTCTTCCAGATTCCATGCTCAGTGCTCTGTCCGCTGTACCACCTAGCTGCCCATATATAGCCATGCATATCAGTAAAATGTAATCCCTTCTTACATGGATCTTCCCTAGGAGTACGTTTTATGTCCTTTCCAGGTCTCATAGTTTATTCTGATTTTCAGAGGAATTGCTAATAGTCAAGTGTTAATCAAACAAAAAATTGGAAAGTATAAATTAAGTCTGCCTTTTATTCGGTGATCCTTTCTTTACTTTCTTCCAATTTTTCCTCCAGGACACCTTTGTTGCAGTCTCTGATTGGCCTTTTTGAATTACCTGAAGATGACACAATCCCTGATGAGGAACATTTTATTGATATTGAAGATACACCAGGATACCAGACTGCTTTCTCTCAGCTTGCTTTTGCTGGCAAAAAGGAGCATGATCCTGTAGGTCAATTGGTGAATAATCCCAAAATCCACTTGGCACAATCTCTTCATAAATTGTCTACTGCATGTCCAGGAAGGGTAGGTATCACTTTTTTGCGAAAAGAGAAAAATATAGGTGAAACCAGCCTTTGGGTGGCTGATAGAGAAATTTATTTGGTTTCCTATTTTATTGGCCACTGCAATAGAACCCAATTAAAATTATTTTCTTAGTGCCAAGTAATCTTGGTTTTGTTCACTTACATTGCAATTCACCAAATTTATTTTTGTTGAATTACAAGGGGACATAAATGTTTTTGCCCCATGGATCTGATTGATGATGTTATTCTGAATGATTTTATAAAGGAGGTATTTTGGGAAAGAGTGGTAAGGTAAAACTCCTGAATTATTTGATTTTATATATATTTACTCCTGGCCCAAACTGAACTGGAAGTAGAAAAGCTGTAACTATTCTTTTTGAAATATAGACATTTTGTCAAGTCTTTCATAGTCAGCACCAAATTTATGGACTAGAGAGAAAGCCTTCAGTTTTTTAAGTATAATTCATTCCATTTCAGTGCTCTTTAGTTGCACTTTCCTTAAATTGGTTTTGTTTGTTGTTGTTGGTGTTTTTTGATTTTTTGGTTTTTTTGCTTTATACCTTGATAGAACTCTTATATGCTAAGGAGAAATAAGTATTGGGAAGTGGTTAAGGCTTTGCACAATAGTAGTGCATCCCACTCAGATTCTCAGGATGAATATCTGGATGTTCACACAAAACACACACACACACACACACACGCACACACACGCACGGTAGTGTAGAAAGAAATGAGGCTAAGTCTTAGCTCAGTTCTTCTGTAAAAAGTAGTTTCTCCTTGTCCTGAAATTCTTGATTCATTAATAACAAAGTTATGGTTGCAATAACCTCAATTTTATTCATGACTGAATTTATTAATTCCATGACACAGCATGTTGCTATTCTCCAGGATACATTGTTGTGGATGTTCATTTGTAAAGGACAGTTTGTGCTGACAGGTCTCTGACTATTAATACATCCTTGGATTACGTCAAGACCCTAGTATATGCATATCCTACAGAACACAACATGAGGGAAAGTGATGATAGTTTTGGGGACAGCTAGTACCATTGGAATGATATTTATGTACAGACAGAAAGCTGTGTTGTATGGTTGGTGGCAGGCAGAACCTTACCATCAGAGATGATGTGTAACCCTCAGGGGAGTTGATGCTTGTGTCATTCAATTACTAGTTAATCAGCTGACCTCCCATTTTACATTTCTTTTGGTAGCCAAAAGAGTAACTTGACAACAAGGTTTCTTGATATTGTTCATTAACGACATTAATATTGTGGCATTAGAGTCCTGTAGTCTGCAATGAAATTCTCCTGCTTTTCTTATTTTTGAAGGTTCCTTCAATGGTGAGCACTAGTCTGAATGCAGAAGCATTACAGTATCTCCAGGGATATCTCCAAGCAGCAAGTGTAACACTGCTCTGAACTTCATTTATTTGATGGGCAACAATTCAATAGTGGTTTCCTATGAAAGGATATTGACTTATAAGCAGAGCTTTGATAAACCAATGCAAGCGTCTCCTTTTGGAAATTATCACAGAATCCATCTTGTAAAAGATATTAAAGGTTACTTAAAGCAGAACTTGAGCAAATTAGGTGGTTTATGTGATCATAGGTAATGGAAGTGGGTGACTTTTTCCATTCCCAATTTGCAGCTTTCAAAGGGAATATTAGTAGCAGTTCATTATTTGGGATTGATTTTGAGATCCACATTTGCTGTGTTTGGATAACCTTTTAACTTTTCTGGAGAGCATTGCTGTAGAGACTCATATTCTGTCACTAAATGCCTTTTCCTTTTTGATGCTTTTGTCATTTTGTATTTTCTTTCATTGTGTCTTTCCTCTAGCCTTTTCTTTTATTTAAAATGTGGATAAATACAGAATTGCTTGTGTAAATTGCCAAGCAGTGCAAAAGTGAATGGTTTTAATTGTGTAGTCAGCAATAAAGAAAACTCTAAACTCTATTACAGAATAGCTGTGAAGGATAGGTTTACTAATGGTCTTTGGGTGGATTATAACAATGGTCCCTTGGTGGAAAAAAATCACCTTGAGGTATTCATCATCCCATCACTTACCTGTCTTATCACCTCCTCTCCATTTCTAAAGAATTGACTGTCTAAATGTAGTGAAAAACGGTGGAGCTATTTTAAGCAGTCCTTGCATCTTTGCCATAATAACACTGAAGGACATGTGACTTTGGGCTGGGTGATTAAGTTATTTCCCTCAGTTTCCCTGTTTGCAAATTGGGGTTAATATTTTCCTATCCCAATCTTACAAAGATAGTGTGAGAATTTCTCCACGTCTTTTAAATGCTTTTGATTCCTTCAGTGTGTTACTAGGTGGTTTTTTTCCCTTTATATTCATTTTTAGGAATTGAAGTCAGTTTGATCAATGGGGCATGTACTGATTTTTAAGGACTTAGTGTTTACCCCAACAGAATTTTTTGGAGTTGATACATTAGAAGATAATCTCTCCCTCTTCTTTATGTCCCCACTTTGGCAATTGTCCTTTTTATCCCAAGGTTTGCCTCAGGATTTTTATGGGGATGCCCAAAAAGGAATGAGCTTAGCTTCATCTTAATAAGAGATAATATTGACACATGTTTAAAGTGAGCAAGAGTTAAACCTCTGAGCTTGACCATGAAAGTGTCCTGTGGCTTCCATTAAGGGAACAAAACTTAAGAGTTTCAACACTTGCCGTGTGGTCCTTTTAACTGAATTATGTTTGTAATCTACTTTATGCAAAAACTATATATTCAGGGTCCGATCCATTAAACCTAACCCTAACGCTAAGTTTTTAGTGAACATTATTCAAGGATACACTTTCACCTTCATAAAACCTCAGACACCTGACTTGTAATGCTTACTACTGCTCTAAATGCTAATTGTTTTGTATAGTTTTGGATAAGACATTTAAAGCAGCTTAAGTATATTTGCTGCAGGTCTAAAAAGACAGCTTCTGGCTTTGTCACCTTCCATTGATTGAACAAGTACCTCCTCCTTCTAAAATGTCTGGCAGAAGCTGTATTACTGCTTTGTTAAAACATTCTGAGTAAAGGAAAACAAGACTCCAAGTAAAAAAATTTTTGGTGATGCAGTGTGTAACTATAACATAAAAACCATATAGAACTCACCTGCCTGGCAGCTTGGTGTAGGATTGGAAGTGAAGAGGGGGCGCCAGTCTGATTTTACTACTGATAAGCATTGCAATCAGGGTTACTTAAATATTTTGGAGTCTCTTCTGTAAAATGAGACACTAGATCAGATAAAGTCTAAGGTCTCTGACAGCTGAGACACTATCACTATTGACTTAGGATTCATTTGTAGGATTTTAAGTTTTTGTCAAGCTATATAATTTTTTTTTCACATTGTACAGAAATAATTTGTCTCAAAATGCAGAGCATTTACTGGCTTGGTGTGGAAAGCAAGAATATGGTAGTGGCTGTTTGACATGTAACATAGCGATCAAACCTTAAACTCTGTTTGGTCAGGCTGTAGTCAGCTGTTAAATAAACAGGCGCAGGGTACAGCATGTTTGGTAACATACTTATGCTCTCTGAACATCTAAAACCTTGAATTTTCTTTCTAACAAATTGATTTGTTTGTTTCATATTCCTGGCATGAAAGAGTGGGGCTTTTAAAAATCCATTTTGTGGGTAGAATGGTTATTCAGATAAGCAATTACTTTACCCTCTTTTCCTTTGTACTGATTTTATTAACCATGTCCCAAAGTTTTAATTTTTTGTTTTATAGTTTTTGTTTTGTTTTATTAGGGCATTAAAATCATTTTAGTAGAAGAGGGGGAAATAGAAGTGTTTGCATGGGGTTTTGGGGAGAGCATAGAGAATTTCTACCAATACAAATTATTCAGCAGTTATGTTAGAGCATTTCCTTGAGTACTTAATTGGGCCTGGATTACACAATATTAGGGGAGGAACCTGAAGGTAGAGCTTTCTGACTCTGAGGCCAACTCTCCACTCTCAGGTTCCCTCTCATAGAGTTTATTACAAAAAACTTTTCATGTACACATTTGTAAAAAATAGTCAGATACTTTAAAATGTTTTAAAAATCCGGGGTGGCGGCTGTTTCTGAAGCCCTCGGTCCACAGACAGAGGGGGAATCAAGTGGTTGATCAGAGAGCAATTGCAGGAATCTCTTTGCTTGTGCTGAGGCAGGATTCTCTTGCTTTGCCTATGCTTGGATCTGGGTCACAGTTCTGGGGAGCGGTCCTGGGGCAAGGAGGAGCGCTGGCATGGAGCAGCTTATCGTGGTGGTGGAGAGAGAATCCTCAGTTCCAAGGCAGAAAAGAGTGCTTGTGGTCACTCACGAACCAGAGCCTAGGCCAGAAAAGGAGTAAACACCTTGCGCTTGATCATACCACCTTGGAAGAATGGAAAATTTACAGGTCCTTAGAAGTATCTCTGAAAACAGCTACACAAAACCCCTTAAGCTTGGGACAGTACATTCTCCACACTGGAAGCAGACCCTTACCTTAACAAAGAGTTTAAAATGCAAGTAATTGGCTGGGAACGTGAGCAAACAGTGCAAAAAAAAGTCACACCATAGCATCTTTCCTTTGGTGACAAAGAAAATCAAAGACAACAAAGTCAAAGCTACTACATCCAAAGCCTCCAAGAAAAATATGAATCAGTCTCAGGCCATGGAAGAGCTCAAAAAGGATTTTGAGAAGCAAGTAAGAAGTAGAGGAAAAACTGGGAAGAGAAATGAGAGTGATGCAAGAAAATCATGAAAAACAAGCTTGCTAATGGAGACCCAAAAAATCCTAGCGAAAATAACGCTTAAAAAAAAATAGCCTAACTCAAATGGCAAAAGAGGTCCAAAAAGCCAATGAGGAGAAAAATGCCTTAAAAAAGAATTGGCCAAATGGAAAAGTAATCTTATGGCCCAGACCTTTGCTTTTCTCTTGTGAACATAGTTTGACAAATATTTGTCAGGCCCTTAAATTATGCTCCAGCCCTGGGTGCCCACGCTTTTGCTTAACTCTTTTTCTCAGGGTTCTTCAGAAGGTCTGTGTCCCTGTTTTAAGAAACTACAATAGGTCCCGTGTTTTCCTTCATTCCGACATCATATAAATTCCTTGTATTTTATTGCAACAGTGAAAATGAATAAATATGACTGACCTCAGGTAAAGAAGGAAATATAATGACCCTCACTACAAAATAACTTGCTGTTATTTACCTGATTACTTAATTAAATGAAGCCATATGAAAACTGCCATCACAACCCTTCTCTGCCTTCTTATCTTATGCAATTCTCTTAAGTCTTCCAAGAGAATCTACCCAATACGATGAAATTTTGTAGCAGTCAGACATTTGAGCCCTGCAGTTGTTTCCTCTCATTCTCCCTATGTGATCAGATGTCAGCACCTTAGTCCTTCAGAGGATGTTTTTACAGGGAGGAGAAACAGCCAGCCTGATGCCTTCCTAATTGTGCAGAGATACCAATACAATCTTTACCTTCATCATAGGCAAGCACGGATTTAAGTCCTTGTCTTGTTAGCTGAATGTAATTATATAAGTAAGGTGATTACTTAACTGAGGCAATGGAAAGCTGAAAACTAGATCAATGAGTTTGAAGTTACAGTTACTGGTCTAATTGACTGAACCCAAAGAAGTAAAAGTTCCGATATGAATGCCTAATCAAGTCTAGGATCCTCTTTTTGTTCGTTCATTTTCAGTAGGGTCTGATTTTTTGTGACCCGTTCGGGGTTTTCTTGGCAAAGATGCTGGAGTGGTTCCTTCTCCAGTTACATTTTACAGATGAGAAAACTAAGGCAGTTAAGTGACTGGCCCGAGGTCACACAGCTACTAAGTATCTGAGGTCAGATTTCCTGACCCCTGCACTTAGTGCATAAATCCTCTGTGCTACCTAGCTGACCCTTGTTCAAGAGTTAATCCCCAGTTATCCCCAGCTTCCCAAGGTATATGACACTTCAAATATCTCCCCTTATATGTGCAAAAATGTGCAAAGTATTTATTGCAAATACACACTGCTGTCCATTTTCAGGCTTTTTAAAAAAGATAATGGTGTTACTTCCTTTAGGTTATATGCAGAGAATAGGATCTCTCTGTAGCCTTATTTAATGGCCTGGGATAGATAGAGCCATTGTTACTTGGTCCAGTCACTCCATCCCTCCGATGGCTCCCTGAAGTATAAAACATCCTCCTATTGCTTACATCCCAGCTGAGGTAATATACACTTTTTTTTGACCAAATGGGTTAAAGAATCTATATTGCAGGGAAAAACCAAGGTACACAAACAGAATAAATATGAAAAACTATTTTAAAAATACTTTTCAAATTTTTAAATGACAAGACTGAAATTCTCATTTTTAGACTCTTGTTTTGCACTGTGGATAACTGTTAATGCACACATTCACAGAACTGGGAAGTGGTAGCTTAGGGGAGAGAGAGTAGTTTTCACTTTATTCAGTAAATATTAGTTACCAGTAGGTAGCTAATACCTATGGCAGATATTGGGAAAGAAAGTACAAATAAACAAACATGCCTTGCCCTTGAGTTTAGAATAGTGGGGAAATAAATCAGGAGCCAAAAATAAATTTGTTGAGTTGAGAATATAACATTTCCATTTACTTAATTTTTTCCATTGTCTTATTTGATCTTGAGCCTATGAAGCATGCATTCACATTCTGCAAATCACACAGTGATCTTCCTAGGCCCAAAGCTAGTTCCAAGCCACATCTTCTGCCTTCTAGTCTACTGTGTGGATCATATCTCTAAACCACGGCCTGAGAGCATGTGCAGTATTTTGTATTCAGAACCAAGGCTGCAGTGAAGTTGCTGCCAGAAACCACTCATGTTCTTTGGTTTGATTTCTTCATTCATTTTTGGTTGTCCTCTGTTCAGAAACGCTTTGCTGTTGCTAAATTTTTTGTGGCCCTATGTTGGGTTTAAGAAGCAGTGATCTAGACCAGTCGTGTTAAA